CCCGAAGGACTGGAATAGAACCTAAACCTTGGAACTATCCTAAACCCTGTGTATCCGGTATGAGTGTGCTTGAATCGGGGCATGTGCTCGAGTCGTGCTTTTACACGAGCATGATGCGACGGGCGAAGTGCAACCTGTCATCGGGTGCCCCACATGTTCCATCTCTAGCCGTCTGCCTTATGAAAACAATGAAACAGCATCGATACAGTACCGAGCGTTTCGCCAAGCGTCCTGAAGCACCTGCTGTCAATGGGCAACACCTTGCCTTGCCGAACGGAGATTACATCCCGTCCCCAGATGAAGTCCTGCAAAGAAGCTCTGGGCAATGATGTCTCTGCTTTGCTGATCCGACATGTCTGACATGATTTTGCCCCAAGCCGTCCTTCTCATCAGTTAGGAATTGAGCGAAGCCTCCTTAGCTTGCTATCCAGTTGAACTCCACAGCCTGCATGAGCTCATGATCATGACGTATGCGAGATCCGTGGAGAACCTGCCGCCCGGGAGGCTCAGATTCGCCGCATCCCGGTAGTGCTTCAGTTCGGTCTCCGCCGTGGGTGTTTCATCGATGAAAACGTTCCAAGCCTCCACGGCAGCAGGGAAGCTCCTTTCTGCGCCATCATAGATACGAACACAAGTCCCGACTGCTTCGTGCCGCGCTTTCCGCCCGTTCCGCTCGCCGTACCACTGCGGGTGATTGTCCGCATTCGTCTGGAGGCACGGCAGACCACCCTTCTGCCTTGGCTACAACGAAACCTCACAAAGCCTCACGAACCGCCACTGACTCTACTTATGACTAATTCCAGTGAATGCTGCTGCATGTAGAAGATCACCATCAAGCCGAAGGTATAGGAGGAGAGATGCCCGTTGGTGGCACCATGCACGCCCTGCAGGGTAGACAGATTAGAAAACTCTGACAAGCTGGAGCAAACTCCCCTCCGGCCTCCTTCTTGGCCCAGGTCTTCACTCGTCTAGCCATCTCCACAACTCGATGGTCCTTCTCCTCAGTGCAAGCTCGGGGTGCACTACCAGCTGCAATCCCTGTCATCGAGGTGCCGACATGAGACGCGTTCGATTGCGATCCCTTTCCCTGCTTGCTCTGGTCTCATGCGATTCCGTCTTGCTTCATAGACAGCCCCTCTTCAGTGTCGCCGAAGACAAACAGGGCTTATGCAGACCTTTGACCAATCCTTTCCAAGTAGGTGCTTGCGACGGCACCTATGACAAGGCACTGCATAGAGGCTCAAGAGCTTCGTGTTGAAGACTGGAAGCAAGTTGTTGCAGGAGAGATCGCACTCGACCTGAGAAGCTTTGCCAGCACGTCAACGCCCATGAACACACGTCCAGCCTAGTGGATGTAAGCACCCGACACCATCTATGGTGAGCTTCAGAATAGGAACCTTAGCTGCACCCACAGTGCCCCTGCAGAGAGGTCGGAGCTTGCACCATGCCTTGGCAGATAGAACCTTCTCACGCACTTGGAAACCCTCCTCACAGTTCTATACAAAAGCTCTGCCGCATATCACGTTGCACAGCTTTCCCCTATGTCCTGTACGAGGTAGTCGGACAAATAGTCCAGTGTGGCAGGGATCAGATCGCGGACGTAATTCCACGGAACTATTTGCTCAAGGATTTCCTGACGATGCTATCACTGCAGCATGGAGCATCGATTTATTGTTGGATGGAGTTCAACCCTGAAGCCAACCTCGGGCACATCCAGCACAAGGTCAATGTCCGAAGTCTCGTCTCCAAAGCCATTCACCGACGAGCCGAAAGCATGGACTTCCACCCGCTCGAAGCGTGCCTAGGCTGAAAAGTCTTGGGCCGGCTAAAAGGCTTCAAGATGCCAAAACAGCGTCTCTGTGCTTGCAAGCGTCGCGCAGTGCGGCTTGTCTGATGCCTCAGGGCGTAATTTCGATGCAGTAATCCAGACATGCAGCTGCTAGAGCTGCTAGGTGCCGTGTCGAAAGATTGCAAACAAGCGTCGATTCTTGAGGTCCTGTGCTTGAACATCAAGAAGTCTCTGACATGTGTCCATGTGCCAGGCATTCAAGCAAGTGAGCTGAGGCCAGCACGGTGACCCGCTCAGAGCACTGGATTCGAGGAACTGAAACGGTGAGCGCCGAGCGCGATATCATCGCTCATGGGCTCCATGGCTCTTCATGGCTGGGCATGCAGGACATACTACGTTACTACGATATTGCTGCTGGAACGGCACTCGGCCACACGTCTTACCTCAAAAAGTCCTTGGCTGGCGAGGGAACGGGCTGACGACCAAGACGGTGGGATCGAACGAGGCGGCTGGGAGTCTCCGGTGGCGTGGAGGGGAACTGAAGCCAGCGGCAGTGAGTTGCAAGACAACCGAAGCCTCGCCTCACATGTCCCCGGCTGTCTCTGCACGACAATCGCCGTAGTGCGTCAAGTCATTGAACTTCATGAATGTTTGCACACTCTCCTAGGCCTCCCCAAGTCACTCTTGGACTGAATGCCCCTTCAAAAGGGTCAGGGCGAATCGGGCACATCCCTAGCTTGGCCTCGTGTCGAAACGCAGGGTGTGCACCCAACTATCACCTCCGTCCTTCTACCAAACACTTCACAAAGAAGATGCCGGCCCGATGCCGAGGAAACATGTTGTCACTTTCGATGGGAGAGGCTTGGGATATCACTCGTTCCTTGCCATTCGGGCCGGCAGTGTGAGACTCCAAAAGCACCAGTGCGTACTGGCAGCCCTCTGTATCAACACACAAACGAGAGCAGGTCTTCCCTGCTTTGGCTCTTGCGGCCCAAACCTGCAAGGCACCCGTGCTAAACATCCAAAGTTGTGGACATTTGTTTGGCAGGGCAAGGACGGGTGGAACCATGAAATCACACTAAGTGGTTCTCACCATACCCGAATGTCCTCACCTCTGAATGTGGCTGCACTGGATGTTGCCAGTGCAGTCTTCTGGGACACACATCCGCTCACATAGCGAGAACAGATGCGGCTCCAATCCTGGCACGATTGCAACACAGCGCTTTGAACAGCCCTCACTCGCAAAGTTGACGTCAGTGCACCGTGAGCATCATTTGCCCGAGGGCTTGGAGTCTGCATTTGCCTTTCCAGAAGCAGGGCTTGATTGGCAAGACGTGCCCGATGCAGGTTGCAGCCTTCACTGCAGGCTTTGCAGGAAGTTGCGCACAAACATCTAAGCCTGCCCATCGCAGGAAAGTGCAACATCAAACCCGCCACGCATGACAGGTGTCACAAAGCTACCGAGGGCTGGGCTGCTGCTGAACATGCCGCACACGCCCACAATGAGGTCGTGTGTTGGGTATAGCAGAGACCTCCAAATTAAATGCTCGAACCGCCAGCGAAGCAATTATGGCAGCATTAGCCGCCCGTAACGGTTTAAGTAGCTCAAGTTACCGGGAACACCTCCCTTCCTGCTGGTCAGCCTATTCATGGCCTCAAACACCAGCTCTGAAGCTTTCTGCGCTGCCGAGGTCCAGGCAAGTGAGCGGTCTGGACTGTTATCAGGGCATGCTTCACTGCTGTCTCCCAGCCTCTGCACGCAAAGAGTCGTGTTCACCAATCTGCAAGGCTCGTGTCAGAGTCAGGTTCGGGAGCGTCAGCCAAGATAACCCCGAAGCTGAAGCTTGCGCATGGAAGGATATAAGATCTACTCACCTCACTGAGGACTGGGCACTTTGCCAACTGATCTCGCTTCTCTTCCTTGTGTTCAGAGTGTTTGGCATTAGGAACTGTGCACTGCACTGGCTTTAACCAATGATCACCCTCTGTCTTGCAGGCGTCGGCACCTCCAAACCTATGTCTTTGATCTTTTTCAGCTGGTAGAGAAACTGGCGACACGGCAGTGCTGTCCACACATCTCTCGATCTGCAGAGGCCCATTGGATGCCGATCTCCGGAACCGATAAACTGAAGATTTCAGTCTTTCCTTCCGGAGTTTTTGGTTTGTGGTGGACAGAATCTGTTAGCCGTGAAGCGAGAAGCTTGTCGTGGTGGTGGTCGCACCACTTGCCAGGTGCATTTTCCAGCTAGTCGGTGGCTCAAGGCTTCGCACACGGAACGACAGCGAGCACACCATGAATACAAGACCTTTGGATCAGCGGAGGTCTTGCGTTGTGTATGGTGCGTTTTGCTGGTGTTCAGCGGAATGAACCTTCCTGTCGGATTGGTGTCATGGTGTCAAGACGCACCCTGCGATGCATGCAGCGCCTTGCTCGATGGAGGACCGTGTTCCGCACAGGGTTGACCAATAAGCGACGTTGCAAAAAAAAGCCGCTGCTGCGGCGATTTCAAGTCTTCGAGCACGTTGCTGCTCTTCAGCCACCCTCATGACTGTTCTCAGTACGGGCCGCAGGTTGCGGGGCATTGTGGACTGGGCCCTCCTTGGTCTTTGGTGGCACAAGAAGCCGGACCGAATCAAGCAAGAAAATTCAAAGGTGGTTCGAGCAGTTCCTAGCGGACCATTCAAGAGTAGCCCGCAACCCCCACCAGGCCTTAGACTCCCCCTGAGTTCAACACGAACTGCAGCACGGCAGCCGCTCTCCATGCGCCACGCTGTGCCAAACTGCCAAACCTAAGAACCTGCCTCCCAACAAGCAATACGAGGCTTCTCTCCAACACCCTAACAAGATGTAAGACCACGGCTTACAAGAGCACGAATTTGCTTTTCGGTCTTGGTCTCGAGTGGGCAACAAGGCTCCGAGTTTCAAGATATGTGCTGTGTCTTCCATCAGGCCTGCACAGCCAAAGAAAAATCGCACAGCTCCGGGTCGAAACCTACAGGTCGGAAGAAAGTGACCTGGATCATGTTTGCCGTCTTCTATTGTTGAGTGTCTGATTTGCCGTCGTCTGACATGTGCTCGGTGTTACTGTGTGACCGCCATAGGTAAGTGTGTGGGTCATCCCTTTTGACCAGACTTCGGCGACCCCACAAGGAAAAAGCACCTGAACCCGACGAAACCAGAAAGAGGACGGCAAGACAAAAAAGCAGCCCCTCATCCCTGAATCCAAGTACCTCGAAGACCCGCCCCACAGGTCGAATGAAGCTTGGAAGTCGCTTGAAACGTGTCTGGCCGGCCCCAACTATGTTGCAGAAGGTAAAGATCCTTTGCGAGCAGTCCCATGCCAGGCAGATGCAAAGCAGAAAGGCGTGCAAGCACACACTGGTAGCCACTCAAGCCCTGCAAGCTGACCTCAATGCATACAGTATCGGCGTATCGGCTCTGGGAGCCGCACTTCAATCCCAGCTGAATCGTTCCTGTTCCGGCCCTGCCGAGACTGTATGATGCTGTCTTCTTGGATCTACCGATGTCCCACAACTGTCGGGTTTCGAGTCCCCGTAGTCCGCTTGATGCTAACAGCTCCAATCACCCGTCGCAACACTTCCTGCTTTTCTCGAATTGCACAGCCTCTTGCCACCAGACAGAATCTTCCACTGCTTCAGCCTCAAGGCAAGCTCCGGAGGAAGTCTGCGCACATGTCAGCCCGCCGATCTAGTGGGCTCGAAGTCTTAAAGCAATTGAGGATCACGAGCTTCGCAGCACTGTAGCAGCAGCACGCACCTAGCCGAAGCAAGATATGCCTGAGGTTGGAACATGCCGATGTGATCGATCATTAAAAAAGCGGCCAAGGATGCCTGGCCCACCAAAAACCAACAACGACCTACAAAACATCCTGGGCTGCTGCTTTAACTCGCCTTCTGCAGTAGCTCAAAGAGTCGGTCGACAGGATCATTTATCTTGAAACACCTCCGGAGGGGTGCCGGCCGTCCAAGGGGCTCTGTCCTTCCTGTCTCAGATCACGGGCGATCGCTCAGCCGCCCGCGCTGGCAGGCTCTGTATCACCGGAAACTCCTGCAGCACGCGTCCGTGCGCGTCTCAAAGTCGACGAGACGTCACTTGCACAAGCGACCAGAGCCTTGCACCATCGGTGAGTTCGCCGTGCACTTGCCAATTGGACCATGACTGTCCTGCGGCAGGCACGCAGCACGTGCGCCGAGACTCAACCAAAGATCGGCCGACGCCATTGCAGAGGTGTTGGACATGTCCTTGCATTCCCCTCAAGTCTGGCCAGTAGCGTCCCCGCCTTACAAGCAAGTACGAGGATGTCATGCTTCTGCAGCATCGCGCAAGCCAGGTACACAAGCCTTCTAGACTCTTCGGCCCTTCCGAATCGAGTAGGGTCAGGGCTGTCGGCTGCAGGTAGGCTGCGCTTCCGACGATGCTTCGCGAACAATATTGGAAGGTACGCGCCAGCTTGTCACGACCCTGGGCAGCACCGACTTATTTCCAAGAAGAAACGCAGACCTAGGAGGGCACAAGCAGGCCTCCGCCTTCGTGAGCAGGGCATTGAAGTCGGCCAAAGAGACATCCTCCCGCGTCCCGCTCCGCATGCCAGCAAGACAACTTCCAGATATTTCGCAAACTCCGAAGTACTCAAAACGGGTCCGAGAACACCCGGAAGGGCTTCATGAAGGGCTGCAGCATCATCTCGCACATGGCCTTCAGCTTCGGCTTTCACGCTCAACCTCAACATCCCGTGACGGCGCACCCTGCCTGCGAAGGCCACAGCCACTGCAACCCGGAACTCTGGGGCCAACTGGCCAAAGGGGCCGAGCAAACGCTGCGGCAGAGCGGGGATCGAATCTAGCCTGGCCGGCCTATCCGGCACACCTCTCACCCCTCAGAGCAGCCCTAGCTCAGACGGACGCGTTTTGCATGTGGGGGATAAGCTGGAGCTGCGCACTCAGATGTCGAGGAACCTCAATTTCTTGACATCCCCGACCTCAGTCGCACATGTGGCCAGCACTCCCAGTGGAGCAAGATTGGAGCCGGCCCTTGTCCCTTCTCTGCCTTCAACTTCTGCCCGGATGACCCGAGAACTGATATATCACAAGCTAAACTGAAGCTTGGCATGATGAACACTTCAAGCTACTGTCACTATCTTCCTTGGCACACCAAAGCAGACCTGCCTTCTAATCGCCCCGCCAAGTTGGCCAAAACAACTTAAGGCGGCCTACATGGGCTGGGCCTCTGAATCTTCCGACGCTTTGGATCTTGTCTTTGCTTGTCAGTGATGTCTCGCCCACGAGCTGCCAAATGCCGAGCACAGCTGAAAGCTTCTGGGTGCCCCTGCCACGAGGTACTGCGCAGGTAAAGGGGGTGGGGCCGGACAGAGTAGCTGCAGCGCTGCATCTTCGACCTCGACGGCAAGAACGTTTTGGTCCCCTGCTTGTGATGCCTGGTGCTCAGAACAGTCAGTGTGCTTATTCCACCTCTTCCTTTGCAGAAGTTCATGTCGCAGTCTCGACTCTTCCGCTGGCACCTTCGTCACCAGAACGAGACCGCACATGGGCGCGAAGAGCACCTGAACGGAATCCGAGCATCAGTAGAGGCAAACTCCGAAACCTTCAGCCATCCCAGCCTCGTTCATGCTGTTCGCGCGAACCTGAGACGAGAAGAGAAGGGAGCCGAGTGGAGATTTCTGACTGCTGCGCACCACTGCCAGCAGCGCATGCTCCAGGTCTGACGGTTGCCCACTGAACGGTCGGACCTGAGGCCATGTCTTTGACGGGACGGAGGTCGGGGGGAAAGGGGGAGACTCACTTCTTCTCACTTTTCCTCCCGCAGCGTCTTTGGCAGCGCGGTGCTCATGCCGGGCATTGACAAACTGCCATAAACGCACGGAACGAGACGACTCCACTTCCAGGCCTCTGTTCGGATCTCGGCCTGGATTCCTCCCGGTCCTCTTGAGTCTGAAGACTTAAAGAAGCAAAATCCAAAGAAAAGGAAACTGACCAAGAGAAGGATACGAGTTTGCGAACCAAGTAGAGGTGCAGAGACAACTACACAACACTTGCTCCCCCTGCCTAGTGCAGCTCAGTCATCTCGATAATCTTATGATTCCGAGGGTTGACTTTCACTGAAGACTCGGTTGAGATGTCGAGGTTTCTTCAGGTGCTTCCTGTGCACATTGCATGCGTTTAGGCGATGATACAGCACGCTAACCTCCAGATGTACTGGCCTTTCGCTTCAATGTAACATCTTTCTTGCACTCCTGCTTCCTCGTTCCGTCCGCTCTGCTCCGCTTCGGGAGGTTTCGGCCCGTGTGGGCAAGGGTAGAAACGGATTTTGGGCAAGCTTGGCTGGCCCAGCGTGGTGCTGGTGCAACTAGCAGTCTTGCTACGAAGCTGTGCCGCGAGAGGCTTAAAGATACAGTTTACAGTTGCGTGCAAGACGTGGAAGCCACTCAGACACTTTCAGCAGAGGGCTCCGGGAAAAACCCTCCATTCACCTTGGACAGGAGAGAGTCTGTAGCCTAACAAGCTGAAGTTGCAAGGCCCCCAAGCCCAGGCAAGGCAAGCAGTAGCCGGGAGGCGGTTCGCGCGAAGGATCGGTGCGACACCAAAGAGACCTGGTGTAACTTGTCAGCCAGCTCCGGCTGTGATTTCCACTGCTTCACATTCAGGACGCCAAAGCCTGCCGACAAAATGAGCCGTGCAGAGGGCGAAAAGCGGGAGAAGCTCCAAGTTGACCCGAACCCACCTGGAAAGCCAGTCCGAATGCCAGAGGAGGACCAGGGGCTCGCGCCGAGGGGGTCCAGCACGTCATGCCCTGTAGACGTCTGACCTATCTCGACCACGGCCCGGCCCCTCAAAGAGTAAGAACCAGATTGCTGTATATCGATGTATCTGTCTCTCTCTTTATCTGTTTACCTCTCTATGTCTATTCTCGCAATATCCAGCTGCAACATAATACATGACTATGTGACTATGTATGTTCTGCCTCTTATCCATACATTTTACAGGCACACCCGGCCTTCAGGTTGAAGCCTCTCCGGGAGTACTTTCAGCACTCTGGTTCTTCTTTCCCGCCTGTCCTTGCCTACGTCAACGTAGATGCGACCGAACTCATCAGGCTTGTCCTTTGGGGCAACGCGTCACACGACGCTTGCGACATTGGAGTGCGGAACAAGTCTCCATCTCGCGGCTTCCGTTTTTGTCAGATTTTCACAAACCCGTAAAACCAAGCCCCGACGACGCTCAGTTTCGGGAAGTCCGGGTTTCGGCATGGGGCTGGTGAAGGAAAAAACACATCTATCATTCAACCGAAACAGAAATCAACAGAGTGAAAACGCCGCAGGAACAGTAGCGGTAGCAGTAGCAGAAGCAGTAACAGTGGCAGGAGTAGGAGTAGTAGGAGTAGAAGTAAGAGTAGGAGTAGGCGTAGGAGTAGGAGTAGAAGCAGTTGGAGCAGGAGTAGGAGTGGGAGTTGGGAGCAGTAGCAGTAGCAGCAGCAGCAGCAGCAGGAGTAGGAGTAGGAGTAGGAGTAGGAGTAGGAGTAGGAGTAGGAGTAGGAGTAGGAGTAGGAGTAGGAGTAGGAGTAGGAGTAGGAGTAGGGGTAGGAGTAGGAGTAGGAGTAGGAGTAGGAGTAGGAGTAGGAGTAGGAGTAGTAGTAGTAGTAGTAGTAGTAGTAGTAGTAGTAGTAGTAGTAGTAGTAGTAGTCGTAGTAGTAATAGTAATAGTAGTAGTAGTAGTAGTAGTAGTAGTAGTAGTAGTAGTAGTAGTAGTAGTAGTAGTAGATGATGATGTTTTTGTTGCTGTAGTTGTTGTTGTTATTGCAGTTCTTGGTGGTGGTCGTGGTAGCGGTAGCGGCAGCGGTAGCCGCAGTGGTAATGGTAGTGGTGGTGGTGGCACTGGTACTGGTACTGGCAAGCACAGGCACGGGTAGAAGTGGCAGCGGGAGGGGGAGTGGCAGTGAGAGTGGGAATGGGGGGCTACGGTTCAGGGTTTAGGGTTTGGGGTGGGTTTAGGATTTTGGTTTAGGTTTTTAGGGTTTGGGTTTAGGGTTTAAACCCTAAACCCTGCACCCTAAACCTCTTTTTCTTACGTATCTATATGTTATGCTCTCGCTGACTGACAATGGTTTTTCATGGCGAAATCGCCATTGCCAGCGAAGAAATACCGATTTTCCGCCGCAAAACCAGTAACCCTTCGCTGGCAATCGCGGTTTTTCTGGTTTTTCGCCATTGCCAGCGAACGGTTTCTAGTTTTCTGGTGGAAAATCAGTATTTCTTCGCTGGCAATGGCGATTTTCGAAAAAGCGCCGTTGCCAGCGAAGGGTCACTGGTTTGCCGACGGAAAACCAGAAACCGTTCGCTGACAATGGCGATTTCCGGCATTTCTTTGCTGGCACGGGCGAAATCGCCGTTGTCAGCGAAGAAATACAAATTTTCCGCCAGCAAACCTTCGCTGGCAATGCGTTTTTTTCGGGTTTCCTAGGGTTTGGGCTCGCGCTTAGGGTTTAGGCTTTAGATTTTAGGGCCAGGGTTTGGGCTTTAGGACTTATGGCCTAGGGTTTGGGCTTTAGGGTTTAGGGCCGAGGGTTTGGGCTTTAAGGTTTGGGGTCTAAGGCCTAGGGTTTTGGGTAGGGCCTTGGCGTTTAGAGCCTGGGGCTTGGGCTTTAGTATTTAAGGCCTGGGGCTTGGGCTTTAGGGTTTACGGTCTACGGTCTGGGCTTTAGGGTTTAGGGCCTAAGGTTTGGGCTGTAGGGTTTAGGGCCTAGGGTTTCGGCTTTGGGATTTAGGGCTTAGTGTTTCGGCTTTAGGGTTTGGGCCTAGGGTTTGGGCTTTGGGATTTCGGGTTAGGTTTTAAGTTTAAGGACTAGGTTTTGGGCTTTAGGGTTTGAATGTAGGACTTGGGCTTTAAAGTTAAGAAAATTGTACTCTCTCAATGTTATGGGATTCAGGGGTGCGTGGGTGTTATTTCAAACTTTCCGGACCGGAGCTGCTGAACCCTGAACCCTAAACCCTAAACCCGTGGTGGTGGTGGTGGTGGTGGTGGTGGTGGTGGTGGTGGTGGTGGTGGTGGTGGTGGTGGTGGTGGTGGTGGTGGTGGTGGTGGTGGTGGTGGTGGTGGGTGTGGCGGTGGTGGTGGTGGTGGTGGCGGCGGCCGTGGCAGTGGCGGTGGCGGTGGCGGCGGTACTGCTACGTAGTAGTCGTCGTCTTTGAAACAAAAATTCCGGTTTGTGGCTGCAGACACTGATACTGTTATTTACAGCATTGCTAAGTTGTGCTTTTGATACCTATGTGATTTCTATATCTGATTTGTTGATCCCCATCCGGGAGTGAAGGAACATGTTGTTGGAGCGGGTGGTATCCCAGATGGACTGCAGGGAACAAAGACCCCGACACCGAAGCGTTCGCCAAGGTCCCCACTGCCACGACGGTGCCAAGTGCGCCGTTCAGGTCCTCGAGTGGAAGGTGCGAGAGAGAAGTTCGGCTTCCGCCCCGCCGCCCCGGAGGTTGGAGGTTCTTTCGGGGGGGGTTCTTTAGGGGCTCTCCTTGCCTTGCGGTGCTCCAGGCCCTGCAGTCGAACCGCAGCTCCTCGGCACCAGACCCGGGCTGGCGCTGCTGGCGCCGTCCGCGGCTCCTCCACCGGAGCACCGGACGCACCGGAGCACCGTGACACGAGAAAAGATGTGCTTCGTGCTTTCGAGCTTTTCTGTCGTCCTGGGAGCCGCCGTTCGGGTCCAAAAGCCGGGAGTTGGAGAACACGTGCTTCAGCTCTTTGCCCGCTGTTTCCTGGCCCAATGCCGAACCTCTCTCGACCAAAGTCTCCAGGATCCACTGTCCTTGATTAGCAGCGACTGGCGAGTCGGATCTCTCTTGTTGTACGGCTCGCGGAAATCGTATCGCGGCGGCATGGCTTCGCAGGCTCGGCTTTACTACGAAAGAACCGCGAGTCGAGTGAAGGCTTCGGTCTTCCTGCCTTTTTGTGCTGTGGCGGCTTTTTCAGTGGGCAGAATACTGCTGCCTCTCTTAACATCAGGTGTTGTTCTGCATGGCTAGTGTGCGTGGAGTGTCTCCCACTTCCGCTATTCGTTGCTCCGGCTTCTCAAGCCGAACTCCTTGAGCAGAAACTATGTGTTCAATGTCCCCAGTGCAAGACTGCCGTCACTTGCAGAAACACTGCACAAGCCGACTTGACGCGGAGAACTTGGGCACTCACGATGAAGTCCACAGACTTCTGCGACTCCTAGAGCTTTGCACAGGTCACTCCACCCCTCTTCATGATGCTCCCTCCTTGTGTTTGTCTTGCTATCTCGAAAGCTGACAAAGCGAATCGGAAAGCCGGCAGATTACCAGCAGGGGAATCTGCGGTTCAGCCTGCAAACCTACACTGAGTTGTAAGACTGCTTAGTGTCTTTCTTCTCGAGCGCTCTGAAGGCACTGCTTGAAATGACTGACGAGACAACAAGGAAGCTTAGTTTGGCCCCTCGGGTCCAACAAGCACATACTTCTAGTCCAGCAGAGAGCATTGCATGGCTTCAGGGAGGTGCTGCTCAACCGTCCCCCTTACATGATCGGAAGATCAGCTTCAAGCTGCCGCCTAAACAAAGCTGGTCCTTGCCCAGCGGAAGCATGGAGGCAGAGAGTGTCGCCGTCTCGATCTGCACGAGCTGTACCTGCAACGGAGGCTTCGCTGCACGCCCGATGCCCGGCAACATCTTCGACCCAGGGTGCATCACCGAGGTCAACCAGGACGGAGAAGGGGCTAAAGTCCCTCATCACCTCGGGACGGGAACGGAATGCTCCTGAGATACAACCGAGGCCCGTAAGTCACACAAGCTCGGCACGCCGTGGAAGTAGTCTCGAACTCTCAGGGCCTCGAAACTCTCTGCTCGCAGGCTCCACGTTTCACGCATGTCTGATCTCGGGCGCAAGCCCGCATGAAGCGGATCCGCTTCGAAGCGGCTTGCACCACCCCTCCAGCCTAGCCGGGCCGCAGGAACATCTGTCGAGGACTCGCAAAGGATGCCAGACTTTAAGCTCTGGCCGCCTTTGGAAGCAGAACCACCTCAACTTTGGGCACGCCATTGATCTTTGGACAGCCCGCAAACCTTGGCAAGAGAAGTTTGTCAGTCAGTGGCATCGCACAGGTGCTCCCATGCACACCTGACTTTATCAGCTATGCGACTGGACAATCCATTCGCCGCAAGCTGCAGTCTATCCCTCGGGTTGGGGCACCCAGCATCCTGCAAAGGGCAGCGTGCAGGGCTTCGCTGTCCAGGACCAGGACGACATCGATCTGGCCCGAACAGTGGCAATGCAAACGGCTTCCATCAAGGAACTGCAAGACATGAAAGAAACATCACCAAACGAGAACGAACATTAGCTGTGCGGCTGAACGGAATACAGCTGCCCGTGCCTCAAACATCTCTATGATCTTATGTAAGAGTTCCTGAGCATCGCAATTGAACAGCACACAGAAAGCTGCAGAAGTTGCACCGATTAGTGGAAGACCCCTTGCAGAAACGTGCAGGTCGCAGGTTTTTCCGAGACCCCGGCGGGAGTGGGTTGGAAAGGTGCGTTGACGACCAAGCCCGAGGAGCTCGTTCGAGCACCCTGCGGAGAGAAGCAAAACACGCATCCGCCCCCTTCCGCCCTTCTGGGGGCCCTTGGGCGGGGCCCTTGGGACCTCTCTGGAGGTGGCATGCGACAGCCTTGGGGAAGCTGAGCCACTGTGGAGAGAGAGGCGCAGCGGCGCAGCGGCGAGGCTCCGAGGCTCCGACTTCGCAGAAACCACGCGGCTCAGATGAGACACCACACGCTGATACCACTCCGGGTTCGCACCTGCGAATTCGAAGCAGTCAGCTCCAAGTGCACGGAGTGGCGCAAGTGATATTGGGCCACCCGCCGCAAGCACAACAGCTGTGCAAAGTCATCTAAGGCACGGACTCCACTCCAGATGCCCATAGAAGTAGGCGATGCGATTCATGGGCTCCTCGCACTCTCAGGCAAACCATCGAAATGGCCTACATTTTCGAAGGCTACCCAGGCTTTCCGGCGAGGCCTCGTCAGACGCGTGCTCCACCGTCATGGCTGTGACGCAAGCCGGTACGCTCTGGCACGGGAGAGGAATCGCTTCGAGCGCTCAGGACTACTCCACCGCCTGTAGCTGGCGAATGCTGGAGTAGCGGGTGTCTAACTCGACGAAGACAGGAGTGTGCTCCTGGCTTCTCACAAAGCAAGGGCTTGAGTCCACTTCCCATTTCTTCCCACAGCCACAGGCCGGTGTCACCCGTCTCAATGCATAGTTGCAGAGAATCTAACAGGGGACAACCGCGCAAGACATCACCAGCGTGAAGACCTCAACTTTCGCCTGACAGAGGGAGCTTTTCCCGGAGAAAGCGCTGCCACACACCTGGGCGTGGTCTCAGGTTCTTGCATGTCAACGCGTTCCACCAAACCAGGAGAGTATGCAGCAATGCTGCACTGCTGCGTGCTGTGTGCTGTTGGAGGCAAACAGTCTTGGCGCATGGCTAAAACTCTCGGGGCAGGAAGCCCGAGATCGTCGGCTCGCATGCGGCGCTGTTCGAGCACTGCCTCAATGAAAACGGCGAACTAGCCGCTAGCCGTGGCCAAGGGCCTATGAAACGCTTCGGAAATTTCAACAAAAAGGCACTTCGATGTTCCTCTGCACATTAGCAAGACAAGCCCCCATTAGCAGAGTGTCTGCACAGCACAGGTAGTCTCGCATCACCACGTTTGGGGCGTCGTACTCCTGTACAGTGGGACCAGAAACCTGGACAGACAATGACAAAAGAATGAAATTCTTCAATCAGGCACACTTCCCCACCTGCACTTTGCAGCCATGCCATGTGTAAATGGCTGTGCGGGACCCGCCCAAGAGAGGATAGTCCTGGGTCGCAAGGACATTACACGAGTCGTTTCAGCAGCAGGGATGCTCAAAACCCTGGCTTACCTACAGCTTCGATTTGGGTAACAGACCGCAAACGTCGTGAGATGCAGCATTTGCGGTTTGCAAACACATGCGGTTCTCTAGAGGCTTCACGTCTCGCAATTTACACTGTCCCTAGCTGAATGCGACGGTCAAGATGTTTAGGGTTTAGAGTTTATTCGCGTTGGGCTTTAGGGGTTTAGGGTTCAGGGCTTATATTGGAGTTATGGGTTTAGGGTTTAGGTGTTTGGGGCTTTGGGGGTTTAGTGTTTTTGAGTTTAGGGCTTAGAGTTTAGGGTTCGGGGTTTGCGGGGCCGTGTAAAAAGGCACGACAAACAGCACTCAGCAAACAACACACGACTATGCGAAAAAATGTTACAACGGAACCCGCCGGCCTGTCCAGGCACCAATTCCGCCCCAAAAATCTCTGCACTCGTCTCGGCCTTGTCTCTTCAGCACATGCCAGGAATGGACAGCCGACCCCTTTCTTAGGCCAAAACAGGCTGACCAGGCCGTGGGTTGGGCACCTGCTCTGGCAGCAGCTTCACCTCAGCCGAAAGGCGATTTAACGTGAAACTTACGTGCAACGGACGTGCCACTGATGCGCACCCTGGCGTGCTTGTCGTCATCCACGATGAGCCGCAGCTCGCAGCCCGGTGCCAGGACCTGCCAGAGATGTTGAGTCCAGGAAAAACCCAAAAGGCGGGAGCCCGCAGCCCGCGCCTTCACGCGTGGTGCAGTCGGGTCCAGTGCCATCAGCTGGTCGCCCACAGGCGGGGTGTAGACCTCCCAGAGCACGCTTCCAAGAGAGCCTCAAGTAGACCCGGCAGCCAGCCTGCGGCACACCCAGAGCGAGCGCCATGGCGACCAAAGCTGGCGAAGTTGAAGTAAGTCTACTGGATTCCGTGGAGTTACCACGCGGCTCAGCGCGCACTTCATTGACTTCGTGCGACTTCTGGGCTTCTGGAGCTTGGCTCCGAGCAAAGCTTGTTCGTCCAGCATTCAAAACACTGGCACATGGTCTGCGGACTTGAAGCTCCAAGTCTCTATGGGCTCACAGTCAATCTGTGTGTTTACTTAAAGATGGTTTCTGCGGTGCCTGCCACACCTTCTGCTTCCATGGCCATAACTTAGATGAGAGGTGCAGCGATGCGGAAACGCTGTTGTCCCCTGCCCAAACCCGAACCGAGACAAGTTGGCAACCCAGCCACACCGATTGTCTTTTGCGTCTCGCTCTATGACTCCGTGGACGCAGCATGGGCGCCGCATGGAATGCGCGACCTGGGCCAATTGCGGGGTAGCCGGCAGCAAAATGACGGAAAAGACTCACCATCGTCTGAGCACCTGTCAACACGGAGCGAGACATGCCAACCGATCCTATCCAAAGTTTCCCTTTTTCTGGCAGCACTTGCCTCATGTGCTTGCAAACTCTGACAGGTCCAGCTCAGACCTCTACTAACTCTACTACTGCCCTTTGGCAGTACACGGAGGCAAACACGGGCTGAAACCGGGGCTGTGCTGCCCAAGCAGGAAAACAAACTAGGCTTCTTGACTGGTCCAAGTCAAGCGTTGTCCTTCGTCGCTCTTCGGAACTGGGCTGATGCTTGCCCGGGAGGTTGAGCCCACAGGAAGACGGCGCTGTGTTTAGGATCCATGCTGCCACGGTCTCGCCCCATGTGACTACTGTTTTGGGCAAGCTCCGCGACAGACACTGTCTAGATTCGGACGCTTCATGGTGTTCAGGGTTGCATCGTTTGTCTACGGAGTTCATACTCTGTCATCGCACCACCACAATTCCAATCAACATGCCATGGTATGCTCAAGGCATGGAAAAGCTCTCACAGTAAGAACCACGTTTATCTACCCGCTGCAACACGACACTGGGCTAAGAGCGCGACACCATGACTACGTAAACTTTGCAGCATCGCGCAGCTGCATCATGAAGGAGGGGATGAAGACGAAGTACACCTGTAGATTAACGCACTCACAGCCACCGCATCTTGTAACTTTGGCCGAGAATCTGTGGTGCAGTAGGGGCGTGGCCGAAAAGAAGCCGATGACTTCAATCAGCGCCAGTAGGCCCTAGGACAGGCCAGGAGGAAGCCAACAAAACAAGCTCGCAGGAGCTGCAGCTAGCGCATGTTGGCAGCCGAGAACGAGGCAGTGCATACAAGCGTGAAGTTGAGAACGTCCTCAGCATCTTCTGAGACCCCACAAGTCACTCCCTGAGACCTTGATTGTCCTTTGCTTGGGCAGCGGCAACAGCGCACTCTGAGCTTGCCAAGGCCTGAAACTCATTTTGAAAGGCCGAGCAGCCCCGTCGCGACAAGGCTTTCCCAAGTGGCTCACAAGCCAGCAGAGGTATCCGCCCCAAACCATCGTGCCGCCCTGCACGAGGAAAACGACCTCGATGCCACGAACCCGAGACCTTTCTGCTTGTGCGGATGTTGGGGCTCGTACAAAGGCCAGAAAACCATGAATGGTCCATGTCCTGGCACCCCGACGACTTAAGGACTGCTCACGGAAGCGGTTGGGGCTCCTGTCACTGCCATGTTCCGTCCAGGCCATCTTGGCATAGAGCACCGCACTGATGGAGGCCACAAGACCTGGGAGCGGAAGTGCCGGCCCCGGCCGAGACAAAAGCGGTGCGTCGGGCAGCCGCCAACCAGTGCGAGGAACCACCACAGCGGTATGTCGCAGCTTTGTCGCAATCTGAGAGGTCACTTCAGCTCACGCTCTCCACTCATTGCATGGCCACGTTCACAGCTCATCGCCAAGAGCCGCACAAGCTTGCAAATATCACCTCGCGCACAGGAGCCGACTCTAGGCCCTAGGCGGTGCTGGTGCAGTGGAGGACGCGGCTTTCAGCTACAGCCAGTCGGCGAAAACGGCAAGTCCCTATACAGCTGCGAATTACGCCGCAACTCTTGCATCCGAGTCTCCCCAAGTGAACTTACAAAGAAGAGGAAAAAGTCCATGGCCATCGAGATTACACACCTGAAATCATCAAAACGAGCTGATGCCTCCTGGCCTTCGGTCTTAGCGTCACAACCGTGACAGGAGAGAAGCAGCCAAAAATAGCCGGCGCACAGCGCCACACTTGGGTTGTCCAGCAAAGGCGCAGGCCTTGTGTGAGCGGTCTGAAGTTTCAGAGCACAACACGGAGGTGGGCTTTCTGGAGGGGCTACCTTCAAGCAGATTCCGTCGTCCTGCCTGCAGGCAACTCGGATGCACTGCCCTTTCGGGCTTTTCCATCGTGCTGCCAGCTGTACAATGGCACGGCCAAGGAACCTCTTAGAAGACCTTGGCCGAGATGGACTTCGCGCCAGATTCACCGCTCGCTCTGGAGCCCCTGGGCTTGACGGTACCTGTGACCTCTTGAAATGCTACGAGTAGTCTCCTAGTCCTCGAAGACGGGATCTCGGTTCACAATTGGCAAATGGGTCACTCCACCTCTCATGGCACTCTCTAGCCACCAAATGCCTAAGCGCATCTGGACGCCTTCGATCTGCAAGATAAAGCTGCAGGTTGTATTGCAGCGGTTCAACACTGTTCCGACTCCAACACCTGGTTGTCGCGTCTCTCCCTTCACCACTATTGGCTTCCTCGCCCCGATGTGCATGTATCCAGGCTGCTTGGCCCCCTGGATGTTGTGGCCGGGCGTTATGCGCACCGCTTGCCCTTTCTGAAGGTCCAGCCACATCCGCTTACCCGAGCCCGACCGCAAGCGCCGACCGTCTTTGTCGTAGGGCACCAGCACTCGCTCCTGCCTGGGCCAGACCGGGGGACGTACGATGCTCAGGCCAAATCCCAGCTCCGGCAGCAGCATTCGCAGAATGTCATCCGACTTGCCGAAGAGACGCAGTGTCATCTTCCCGTCCTGCGCTGTTTGCTGCAAGTTCAGGATCACAGTGCCCAAGCCACCGCCCACAGATGGAATCACCTCGAAACGCTCGTCTCGCGGAAGCGTTACAGGCTCTGCCAAGCGGTCATCCTCTTCCTCTGAGTCCTCATCGCTTTGGCGGAAACGTACCTGAATGGTATTTTCTGCTACCGCCGTGACCAGGCCCTTAAGACCTCCCGGTCGCCGAAGCGAGATCCATGCACCTGGTGCCAGAACGCCTGCCGCCGGCGCCGGTGGCAGCAGCGTTCGGTCTGCAGTCTTCGTGGCTACCTACGGGAATTACCAGTTACCAGTTGTCAGCATCACCATGACATGACTTTTCCCAACCGTTGCCTGGTCGGCGTTGAGACCGCCCAGGCTCGTGCCCAGGACCAGGCAGAGGTCAGCCGTCTCTGCATCTTCCCGCATCCATGGATAAGACTTGTCATGGAGGGTGCCACTGTACTTCACCACCTGATCTTGTAGCTAAAATCTAAAACAGCACGAGAGATATTACAGACGCAAGAAAGACGAGCCGCTGGGTTGCTCGGGTCGTACCAACTGCCGTGGATCTCATTGATGCGCTCTTGAGGGAAGCCAGCCTCGTGGAGAAAGGCAGATACGCGACAGAGCCCCTCCCGTCCCCTCCCCTGGGACCTTCTGTGGGAGGCCATCATGGTTCTGCTGGACCCAGCCATGAAGCAAGCCTTGCCGACCTCGGATTTTGCAGGCAGAGACAGCCTCGCCCTTTCTTTCCCCTCCTACTCCTTCCACTCCAAATCAAGACAAGACTCCCAGAAATCCCAAGGCGTGATGTGTAAAGGTTGGTGGGGCTGCGCGCGTGTTGTTCTTCCATCCCACGGTGTTCTGACCGGAAAGGGCCGCCTGGCCAATCACGGCGGCGGAGATGCCTCGGAAAGGATCACCGCGCTCATTACCCGGCATTTTGCTCTAGTTAACTTTGCTCCAACAGGGTGTGAGAACAGGTTGCCAGCACCGGTGTAGGCCACAGTCTTCCTGGACAGCTTGATGAGCTGGGCCAGCTCCTTCACCTTTGCAACCGCCACCTGCGGAACCGCGGCTGATGGCACGAAGCAAAGCACGAACTTAGCAAACAGATCTCACGCACACCGAGACGGAGGAGAGGGAGATAGGAGCAGATGCGCTAACTAACCGGCCAGGGCCCTCACCTCCGGCTGATCCTCGAACTCCGTGGCTGTGAGCCACTTCGGGCAGGAATGGTCTTTCCGGGGTGGTTGACTACTCTTCCAGATCACCTTCGGCGCCTGTAGAGGACCCGTGTAGCCTCGCCCGAACATGAAGCGCGGGTCCGATGGGTCCATAAAGGCGCTCTCGCGGAGCCTCTTGCAAACGCTGGCACGGACCGGGTCGTCGTCGGCTTTGCCCTCGCTGGTGTCCTCAGCACGAGAGCCCCAACCCACCCTACCCCTACCATCCCCTACCCGGACCCCGCACCCTGTCCGTGCCCAAAAGTCTGCGAAATGGCTTGATCCAGCGTCTCGCAGCAGCTCCGGTGGCGGCGGCGGGCTGGACTCTGCGGGCTCTGCGGGGTCGGGCTCGAGGATTGCCTCGTCCGTGGAGTCACAGCCCTCGATGCTGCCACGAACACCATAGATGTCACTGTGCGACTCTGCACCATCCCTGTCATCCGTCGGCGCAGGAGGAGGTGGAGGGGGGGGAGGAGGGGGTGGACTGAGTGGATGGAGCGTCTCTGTCTTGTGGCTGCTTAGTGTTGGCAGCGATGCCATTATGCCGGGCGGCACCTCCAGCTGCCCACTCGCGTCCTCCTGATCGAACTGAAGCTCCCAAGATGTCCTCAGACTCGTACCCTCTTTGAACTTCAACAGAACGGCAATCTCGAAGGTGCCCCAGCCTTAGATGTTGGGGCGAGGGAGAGGGAGAGAGGGAGAGAGAGAGAGAGAGAGAGAGAGAGAGAGAGAGACGAAGCCCTATGGAGCACCAGAAGCTGCAACTGAGAGTCCCCTCGACTTGAACTCGAAGGGAGCTGCATCACAAGTGCGCACAGGATCTTTGAAGGTTGGATGCAGTTTGATCGTCACCGAATCAAGGTAGTCTGTGGCACCCCGGACATAAAACGTCCAATTGTATCGCTTGCCGTCTTTCGCGGGAGTTGCAGTATTGCCCAACACCAGATGGTGCACCATGGGTGCAGAGATGGGTACCAAAGGAGCAGTGATTCTGAGCCCACTTCAACGCACGAGCAGTTGAGACAGGTGCAGCAGTGTCTGGCTACATCTACGGGGTACTTGGGTTTCCGACCCTCCGCCTCTGCGGCGTCGCATTGCAGCCCTTGAGATGAAGCGCATGCAGGCATGCACGTTAGAAGAAAATCACGGGAAGCTCAGCTGCGTGCTGCTGCGTTCCATTGAGGACACTCTGTCAACCACGACAGGCTTCGGATTGCCCGGTCCTCCTTTGGAGGACCGAGGAGTCTTTGTCCGGACGGCAGTAAGTCAAATGCCTAGCATCGCCCCAGCCTGCCCCAGCCTGGGCCTATTCTCCTTGCAGTTTGCGGGCTGTCACGCGTGGGGGTGAGGACTGAACAAACGCGCTGTCGGGCCCTGAGCTGCCCTGAGCTGCCTCCCTTAGCATGGCCATGTTTTTTTGGGCCTGAAAGGCCGTAGAAGTGCACGTTTGTCCTAAAGTCTTCATCCGACGAACTGAAGCCAGCAGGAGCACTCTTTCTCACCGCAGTCATCCCAACCGCGGGCAGTGCAGGTATTTGAACCTCCGGTTCCGCAGCCACAGCTGCACAGCTGCACAAAGCACTTTCAGATAACTTGGAACCTTTAGCTTGGCCACTGCCACAGAACACTTGACAGGGCTGAGCACTTCGCACGCCATCTGACCCAGAAAAGCTGCAGCAACGCTCCTCAGTAGGTCTGGTGATGGTGAAGGGCTTCTGGTCGCTCTCTAACTCTCAAAGACTCAAAGAATAGACCCGCAGAGCCTGCTGCCCCTAGTCGCGATCTTGATGAGCCAACTTCCAAACTTTCCTGTTGCGACGACTCCCCATTTTGCTGTCCCGTCACCTAGCCCCCGGACGAGTGCCATGCCTAGTCGCAGCAGCTCGTCATGGCGCATGTCAGCCTTGTCAGTTGGTCGGCGACAGCTGCTCGGCAGCGCTGTGGGTAAACTCAATGCAGGGATCAGCTCCGGCTGCCCGCTTTTTGGCGCACGCCCTCGCAGCGTAGCCCCAGAAATGCACCGGCGCAGCAACGCGTCTTAAATGTGACGAATGTGTGGAACATCGCTGCTGCTGCCGTTGGAGGTGGCGCTCCCCTTGGGGGAGACCAGCAAAACGGGAACGATACGTCGCGGACGCAGCGGCCAGAGGCTGCGCGAGAAGGCACGAAGCTTCAGACAGAACTGCGAGCTTCAACAAGCTTCAGTGAAGACCGAGCTGTGTGAGCAAAGCCAAGACGCTGCCTTCGAGGCTGCAAGGCCAGCACACTGCAAAGCCTACATCGTGCTTCAAGCATCCGACTCTCGCACCTGCAAAGATGCCCAGGATAAGGCCCAGCTCCATGATAACACCAGCCCTATGCTGCTCGGCGGGGAGTGACACCTGAACGCCCGAGCTCAAGAAAGTCAGAAGGACACAAAACACGGGCCAAGCTCAGCGAAGATTCCTGCTGAGGCCCGTAGATCATCGCCAGAGTGCTGCACCAGCCATTGGTCAAAGCAAAAAGTGCCATGACCGCAAAGGCCAACAGATCCTGCCCAGCTATATCGCTACCCACAAAGTCTGCAACGAGATTGCTCACCGCTGCTGACGAGAATTGAGCAAAGACGCCTGCCAGGGAGCTGCGATTGAGTTCGGTCTTCGCTGCAGCAGCATAAATGCCTGGGGCAAAACGAGGCTGCAACATGTCTCAACAGCTGATTGTCTATCTAGGTCCAGTTATGCGGGCGTAGATCACCAACAAGTGCAGAGAACCATGCACCATGACGACCACGACCAGGAGACCACAAGAAGGCCACCAGGAGACCCCCCGAGTGGAGCACCCAGGCACGACCAGGCGATGACCAGGAAGCGAACCGCGACCATGAGGCGACCACCAGCGGCCGCTGCGGTGACGTGTCTCTGAATCCCACCAATACTTCGCCGACTATGTATCTATGATTCCCGTAGATATATGGAGAAAGCAGAGCCAGAGACACCCCGGGCCCGCCCCGGGCCCGCAGAAGCCAGGCCAACCAAGTCTCTTTACACCGAGCGTAAGAGCCCATTTAGTACATCATACCACACTGCGCAGGGAATAAGATCCCCTCCTTCCTGACGTACATGCTTGGGCTTGGGCAGTCAAACCGCTACCTGCGCATTGCCGTGGGTGCGATGCCAAGGCACCGGGATGAAGGCCAAACGAAGCCACACCGGAATACCGAGCCTCTTCGGGGAAACTCCCATCTTCTCGAGCGCCTGCCAAGCAGGACGGCTCCGCAGGAACTCGCGACTTGCAAGCTTGCAAGCAAGAACCGTGCACCCTTTCCTTTTCGCTCCTGCCTTGGGCGTCGATCGTCCAATCACATCGAAGATCTGGAAGATTCCAACCACAAGGGTTGTATACCAATCCTTGCCCAAGGCACCTGAGCTTAAAGCTGCCTGCAACAAGCCAAGGCACCTAGACAAAACACAATCAATCGCCAAGACGCCTTTGCTGACGAAGAACTCCAGCTGTGGAGACCAGCTTGCGGCCACACCAGGGAACACCACAAAGGTCACCACCTCACAAAAACTGGTTACCGGTTCTTTTCAAGGGCAGCCCGAAATGTGGTGCACAGTTGCACACTGCTTGATAGACTTAACACCAAAGCAGCCGAAGTCACGAAAATCATCGTCACGTTCACGAGCTGAGGCATCACATCCTGCGGCGGGAACGAGCGGGTTTGGACAGAAGGGGTGTGCTGGCGCAGATCTCCAGCCTTGAGGATGGGGCCGAACGAGCGCTCTCCGGAGATAAGCTGGCGAGCAGGGTCTGCTGGCTCCGAATTGGTGAAAGAGCCTCGGCACCAAGCCCCACGGCCGGCATGTCCAAAAGAGCCACGGGTCTCGTTTCTGCCGGTGGACCGATGCTTACCACTTCCACCATCGTGGCATCAGCATGTCTGTTCTCCTTCTTAGTCCGGATCGCTCGGAAGACTCAGCTCTAGTCGTCCTTTTCGACTTCATATTCACAATACAACAGGCCAGTCCTGGTGGAAGGTTGGCACATAGCGCACGAGGTACACGCCAAGGGCTTGCAATGCGGCACAGGTGCCGAAGAAGCAGAACACGACCTGTCTGCCACACGAGCAGTAGACTCAGCAGACTGTCAAACACTTGTGCATGATGCATGGCAGATGTAGGGTTTTTGCCCTGCCACTTGTAGGTGCCCGTTTGTGTTTTTCCAGGCGGCTCCTTCGGGTATCAGGCCCCACATGTAGTATTGTGCGTGGGCCCTAGCTCGTGTTGTTGTGTTGGGGCGTCAATGTCAGTCACTGCTGAGGCACCGCCCAGGACGGGGTGTTGAGAGCACCTGCCCCGCACCCTATCGGAGTAGTTCTCCTGGGCCCAAGCCTCAGACGGACCAAAGAGCAAGGTGAACAGTCTGATGTTCACACAAATTCACGACCTGGGTCGATGTCGGTCTACCTGTCATTTGGAGTACATTTATTGTTACATAAGACTGTGACCATCCAACGCTAGTCGGTTCATAAGATCTGCAAGAATTAGAGAGCACAACACGGCCGAATAATCTCGGCTTTGCTGCTTCCTACCCGGTTGATCGCGAACGCCTGAAACTGCGTTGCATGGCTCACTACACGTACCTTCATTGGGAACTTGACGATCAACCAACGCCTGAGGCAGCCTCAAACAAGTTGAACAGTCAGCTGCTTTGTCGTCCTCCCATCAAATTCAAGATGTCTGCTGCTGTATTGCCAAGCACGTCCATCAGCGTATGACCAAAAAACGCAGCATGTTTTTTCTTTGGAGCGAGTTGGCACAATGCCTGCACAGAGCTGCGTTTTGATTTGCCTTCACTACGGCAAATGTCGCGTATGTCACGGTTGACTCCAGCCCAAACTGTGCAGAGCGTCCTTTCCATGCACGCACAATCGCTTGCATGCATGGTTGCAGCAAAGTGCGCTGCTTTAATTGGCTCTTGTTGACCTTTGCCGCAGAATTCTGTCTTGAATAGATATGGACTCAATCTACATCCGCGCCTGAGGCCTGCTGATTGGGCTCTCTATTCGCATTCGAGGTTGCCGAACGGTAGGGCCTACCTTTCTCTGTAGCGAGGGTTCACGTAAACACTAAGCTTTCCGGAATGTCAAAGTTTGCAACGCTTGGATGAGCTAGATTCCTCCGAAATTCAAAGCAATGGTATTGCCATGAATGTTGTTTTGCTTGTTAACCTGCCTTCACGGGAGACGAGTTACGCGTTATGAAGCCAAACTTTAATGGCCAGGGATATGCATCTCCAGTTTGTCAGAAAGAAATCATATTGAAAAATTTCATAAGCTCTTGATCCATTTGACTGGTTCCAACACGAACATTCACCCCTTCAGCGAAGATAGTTCTCTCAACATCCAGCTCAACATGTAGCATCGTGAGTAAGTGAGCTCAAATTCTCCGGTGCTTGTGATCACCTTGGGTAGAGATGTAACCGCTGAGCTGTGTTTCTGCTTCGTCTTCTTGATCATCTTCTGCTGCTGCTCGCACTACTGTCTCAATATCTCCTTTACTTGCTCTCTTGAATGCCTGTAATGGGCATGGTGCTTTCCAAGGAGTGCCGAGCGCAAGCGTGCACGTGTCTCGCTCTCTCTCTTTCGTGGGTTTTTCTCAGGGCCTGAGCAGCGGACTGCTCCCGTCAGGGAGGAACGCCCTTGGTTGGCTGTCAGCCCGGGTCGCTGAACAGTCGGGAGCACGAGTATTTCACGACCATGCAATTCAGAACGGTACGGATCAATCCCCGAAGCAGAACAGAGAGCTTCGCCACACCCCCAAAGTAGAGTGACGATCCGCTCCTCAATGCTTAGTCAAAATCCATCCTCTTCGGGAATCACAGGGCGGTCTTCCCCGCCGGTGAGAAGAGCACGAATCAACACATTCTGCCCCGGTGCGCGGAACTATCAACGGCGACGCCATTCTGCCCACGCTTCATTAATGCGTCGACGGTCTGCTTGCTGGTGCTCCACCCAAAGCTCATCTGCTCTAGAAACTATATAGATCTCCCAATCATCCGGGCTGTCTTGCACGCCGCCCTTCTGCTAGGAGCCTGTGTTCCTTGTCTCCGGCGTCCATTTCAGTTTCGCCTGCAACCCATCCGGCCTTCTCTCGGGAAAGGCGTGACCCGTACACCACATCACACCGAGGGTGTGAACAGAAACCACCAAATACAAACGAAGTATTCCCAATGCGTGTGCCATGATGTGTTGCAAATCATTTTTGAATCTTGATACGGCACAGTGTTTTTAACCGCAGCCTAGTATCAGCCTAGGCTATGCTTTTGCGGGGGACGGCCCCTTCAAGCACTCTGATTGCTCGGGCCGTTATCAAGCCGGGGGTCAGTTCCGACTTGAGCTATAATGGCGTCTCTCTTGCTTGCAATCGGACAAAGCAGGGTGCAACCCCTGCCCGCGCTCGAATGGCGTCTCTCTCTCTCTCTCTCTCTACCGGGCGTGAGGGCAGAGCGGCTCCAGGCTCTAACCCTCGTGCGAGTCCGCACACCCGCGTTTCGTGGGCTTTCATTGTTCCCCAAAGGGATTTTCCCCTCCGGGCTCGGCTGTACGTGTACAAGGGGTTTCAGGCACCTCCCCCCCCCATGTTTGACAGCAAGGGCACAGCGTAACACTAAGGCTGACGAGAGCAGTGTGTTTGGTAGACGGTAAGGTGCCTTTCCCCCCCCCCATGCCCGGCTCTCCCTCTTTTCTCACTGAAGCAAAACAAGTAAACTGTGCACGCTGACTGAGTGACTGAGGGCCGGGCCAACCTTGTTGAGCTGAGGCAACACAAACAAACAAACCAAAGTAGAAGTACAAGTTCGTCCCCCAAGCTCTGGCTGGCAGTATGCTACCTACAGAGTGCTTCATGTCCCCCACTGAGAACCTGGAGTAGAGGTTGCACAGAGTAAGTTCAAAGCTCCCCCCGGTTCTCAGTAAGGTCCATGTCGCCCGTAGAAGGCCGCTGGCATTCTACGGCGCCTATGGCTCCCTCCGTCATCGTCGTCTTGGCGAGGACTTCGGGAGCGTCCCCTCTCAGCTGCGTCACTGTGTTCATCCCCCCTCATCGGTGGCGTCTCTCTCTCTCTCTCTCTTTTCTTTCGCCAGGGTTGTGGTGTAGGGGCTTTACCCCCTACACCGCGCGCGTTCGCGCCCCCGGACTGTTGCGGGACGCCTGTGTTGCAAAATGTGCCATCGGCACGAAAAGTAGAAGTTGCACAGCTTCCCTCGGCAACTGGATTCAACAGGGCAAAACAGCTAGGTCGAAAAAGGATGCGCCCTAGATGAGCAAGTACAGCATGTAGGTTGATTGCCGAGTGTAGGGGTTGTTCCCCTGTGAGCTGGGCTCCCGGTTTCCCCTGAGCTCGTATAGAAGAAAGGACGAATGAAGCGAAACACCAGACATGAACTAGGATGGTAATGTGAGGTCCGGGTTTTGCAAAAATCGTTTCCCAATGCCTGCAGCGCTGATCAGTGGCATGCCGTATTATTTCCCTCAGCGATTGAGTTCAAATAGGAACAGCTAACCTAAGAGATATCGGCTGTGGGAAGGGGCATTTCTTTCAGGCTTCGGCATTCGAATTTGGGCTGACGCGTGACCGATGTGCTATTTGCAGCTTGTTCAGGGGGAAAGGGAAACCCTACAGTGCAGCACGAACTTAGGCAGTAAGTTTCGGCACATTCCGGTCTGCAGGGGCGTCCCCCCTCGCCCTAAAGAAAGTGTGGTGAGACCTTCCTCGAGTGCCGTAGGGGAGGAGTGCCGGGGGCAATGCCATGACACAACACCGAAAGAATAAAAAGGTGAAGTGTGCATGCAATCAAGAGGGTTGGCACTTTCCCAGCGTGGTTTCCCGCGGTTGCAACTAGGTTTGACTTACCTGGCTCGACAAGGGCAGCAATAATGGAACCCACTAGAAACAAACAAAAACAAGTTGTAGGATCACAGGATGCCAGGTTTCTCGACAAGGGGCATTACTGTAGCCCATATGGTATTTCAGGGGCGTCCCCCCATTTGCCTAAGGCGGCTAGGCACAGCTTAACTTTCCTGGCTCGACAGGGGCAGCAACAAAGGAACTGACTAGGAACAAAAAACAAGACCCAATGATAGAATCACAGGACGCCAGGTTTCGCAGAAAAAGGCTCTGCGGCACTAGCTAGGAATTCAGTGGTGGGTCGCGCCGGCTCGTATATGAAAGGTAGCAACAAAACAAAAAAGCTCGACTGCAGTAGGAGTGCGGTACATGTGCAGGGAACGACTGTTTATTTGCCGGGCACGCCACGCGGGAAGCAGGGTGGAGAGCTCTTGGGTTCTTTCCCCTTCGTATGGCAGTGTGGTTTTCATGGCCAGAATACAAAGGTCAGCAACAAAGAAAAAACATGTACCTATGCACAAGACGACTACGCCATGTATGAAACTGCCATGTGGGGGCGTGATCAAGCGAGGCTTGCCTTTGCCCGGAAAAGCAACTTGTGCACACTGAGGAAAATTCGTGGGAGGGGTAGTCCCCCCTTTCCTTCGTTGTGGAAAAGCGCAGGCCTCTCACCACGGTCCGTCATGTGCATCCGGGTGTTCATCGTCTTGCTCTGGGGTCCCGAAGAAACCCTTGTGCATCCTTCTGCGTCTGTGCGAGGACTGCCTAGCCAGTGCCTGGGGGCCACGGTTTTCCCGGCATGGGCTGACTGCTCTGAAGGCCTGTGTCGTTCGGTTCGAGGAGGCTGACGATGCTCTTGTTTCCTCTCGGTTCGGGGATGTCCCCGGCACGGCACGTGCTTCACCTTGACTGTCTATCAGTTGCACTGCGGTACCCCAGATAGCTGACGTCCACTGGAACACAAGTGCATGCGCTTCTGCCATAGTCGCTGCGGCCTGCTGCTCCAGAAATGGCATGAGCTGCTCGAGGATGTGCTGGGCTCTCAGGATTTGAAACGGAGCAGCCTCTCCGGAGTTGGTGTTTGCGCTCCGTCCTCCTTCACGATGAGGCGGATCGGGTAATGCACGGGCATGGCGGGGAAGCGGTTCTTCTGGATGAGGTGCTTGATGTGGTAGCTCAGCTGGCGCAGGTAGTTCGGGGTGTCGTCGTAGTCGAGATCCCAGGCGGTGGACGGGGTCGCCCCCGGTCGGTGCTGCATCTTCTTCTGGGCGTGGCCTTTTTCTGTCGTTGTTCACGGCGACGGGGGAGCTTGGGACTTCGGCTCGTAACACGTGGTCCAAGTAGCCGGCTGTGCGGTCCACTGCGTCTCCAAGGGCTTGTAAAGCTTCGGAGATACTCGCGATGCCTCCCTCCTCCAATGCCAGGCTGGCAGCGAGGGCGTTGGCTGCAGCGTTTTTAATCCCAGCCAGAGCCTCCAGCCACCGCGGTCTTTCGGGAGGTGGCCCCATCGAGTCAATCAACGACCTTGTCTGTCGTAGTAGGTCACGAACTTTGTCCAGTATGTGAGCCATTTGGCGGAGGGGAGGGTCCTCCCTGAACTGAAGAAGCTGAATCATCTGCCTGACGTGTAGCTGCACCACTGCGAGGGGATTGTCAGCGAGGGCACCAGTGTTATCGGGGACGGTGCCAACGATGTCCAGGTCCTGAAGGAGGCTTTGTCGGAAAGTCAAAAGCCTCGCACAAGCTCGGTACGCCATGTCTGTAACATCTTCACGAGGTTGTTGGAAGGAAAGTTGTAGTAGAGCTCGTAGGATATCCTCGAGGTTCTGCAATCTTTGGTTCATGTCGGCTTGCGGTGGCAAGGGGAAAGGGTCGTTGGACGAGGAGGATCCCCCGCCTGTACCGGAGTCTTCCTCGTGGTCATTGTTGTCATAGTGGTCTCCCTGTTGTCGTTGAGCACGTTGATGGTGGTTGTCCCCCGTTTGCATGAGGACACTATCATCTGGTGCTGGATCATCTTCGCTGGGCCAGCTGGTTTCAGACTCAGAGCCTGGGCTGGGTACGGCAGGCATTTGCTGAAGTGGTTGGGCACGCAGAGGTGGTACATCTTGTCTGGGTCGTCGTGGCTGAGCTGTAATGTTGGTTGAAGTCACGGTCCGGCGTTGCTCTGGTCTCTCCATAGGTGGTTGTTGCTGTAGTGGAGGAGCAGGTCGTTGTGGCACCGAAGGCATACGTCGCTGTCCCGATCGATTCGCTTGCACTGTCTCTGTTTGTTCACTACGCGGTCGTTGTCGCTGGGGTCCTGTAGGTTCTCGTCGCTGAGGAGGAGTTGGCGGTCGCGGTGGTTGTGTCGGGGGCACCACTGCTGGTCCTCCTAATCTGTTGACGTCATCTTCGAAGCGCGGGCGGCGGGACCAAAGGCGGTCTTGCCCCTTCCATTCCAGCCAAAAACTTTGTCCGTTGCTCAGTGGGATCCACTCCCTGGAGGGGTTGTGTGGCGGCGCTTCATCAATGAGTACCAGCCAGCACCTAGGTGTTCTGGCGGTGCCCAGCTCGATCCTTGTTGTGGCTATCCACGGCCCCAGTGGCATCAAGGTCAATCTCGTCCTCGGTGCAAGGGTGGGTCCCTTTTCCGCATGCCCACTGAGCGTGTTGAAGATGACCGCTGTGGGCTCATGTCGGAGCCTCCCTGGATGGCGAACTTCTTCTCGGTTGCGGGGAGTCCATACAACACCACGCCAGGCACCGTCCGCCGAACTGCGCAGAGTCATCACATTGGCTGGGTCGAGTGGAACGGCAGGAGGCAATGTAGTAGGCGTTGCACCCATGAGCCATGAAAGATCTCTCTCTCTCTCTCTCTCCCGGGCATGGGGACGGGTCAGCGCCCCCGGGCATCATGCCCACCCGTCGTGTTGACGGACTCGGGGGGTGAAAGAAAAAGAACGGCAGACCTTGTAAGGCTAGAGCCATAAATCGTACGATATCGGAACCCAAAGTCCCCCGTTCTTTTTGTTGACATAGCATATGCCTGATCCCCCCAATAAGCAACAAGATCACCTACAATGCTCCAATAATATAACTTGAGGGGATTTGTTGGCGATGCACGAATCTACATTCAGTTGGCAGCTCTGAGGGATTTCACAAGAACAAGGACATCACATAAAGACCATGCCAAGATAAGGTATGATGTTCAATACTTCCCTCAATTACTGCTCACACGAAGGGCAAAGGGTCACTGTGCATCAGTTGAGTTCCCCTTGTAGAAAAAGGAGGAACACCCATCCATTCAAGATCTCTCTCTCTCTCTCCCTCCCTGACTCTTCCCGTTTGTCACTGTCTGTGATGAGATCTGCGACGAAACAAAAGGAGCCTGTGCATGAAGCTCCCTGCCTCGTACTTCCATTTCATGGGATCCCCAGATAAAAACTTCAGCGACAGCATCAATATGGGGGGAAGCACCCCGACAATGCCTTCAGTCCCAATGACTCTGCTCATGAATGTATCTTTACTTCTGCAAGGCTGCCCGAGCCTTGCCCAGTCATGATGGCGCCCATAAGCTTGGGATCTCCCGTGGATCCCGCAAGCCCGCAGATCAGAGATGTGAAGCAGGACTCCGCCAACCCCAAAACCTGCAAACAGGAGAGATCGCAGAGAACAAGGACTTGCACGAAATTCGAAATTGGGATTTGCCAACATTGCCAACTTTTGTTCAGGGAACTGCGCAGCAAGCCAGTGCGGCAGCAAAGCCCCAAGTCGAGGGAGTCACAACATCATCGGTAGCCTGGTTACAGCAACGCGATGATTCATTCACGAATGTCTACAAAATTCTGCCATGATGACTGACGCCAACAGCCCCAGCACTGCCAGGCAGCTTCTTCTGGACTCCAAAACGCCAGCATTGGCATGGCTAGAATCATCAGCAGTTGCAGCGCAAGCGCCATCACGTATGCGGGCTTGAAGGGAATCTTCTGGCCAAGCTTCACCATGGTGGTGGTCCCCAGCACGTTCATTGCCTGAAGACTCTGAACATTCTGAACATCACATCACAGTCAGGAGGTGTCGAAGGGCCATGGGACTACGATGAGACGAACTGAATTGCGTGCACAGGCCTGATACGTCATGGACGCGACGAAGGCCCACTGGTGGCCCGGAAACCAGAGCTCAAAGAAGCCAACAGCTGTGAGGTAGAAGTTCCATGCCGCCAGGGTCAGAATGCCCAAAATCTGAGTGAGGCCGGAGTGGCACGACAAGCAAAATCACATCTCGATTCAGGCTGTTTGCATCTCAAGAGTGATGAAACAGTCAGTCGGGCCACAACAAACAACGGAACTGAGCCGAGAATTGGAGGTCCAAATGACCCCCTCAGTTCATCAACCTTGGTTACACGCAGCAAGCACTGTCTCCGTTGACACTGACGCCGGTCTTATTCTTGACTTTTGGGGAAGCGGGGGGGGTGGGGTCCTGAGTCTGTCTCATCCAAAGCAGACTTTACAAGGAAAACAGGCTGGCTCACCGCAGCCTGTATGGCTTATCGAAGTACTGTTGAGACAGCATCTTCCAAAATGCCGTTCACTACTCTTTTGCTCGGCATGTTCATTCAGTGTCAAACAACAATGGAATATGACGCCGAGTGTCCTCAGGTGACCATTGAGGAGGACTACGCTCATTCGATCTTTGGCCGGCCAGTTACGGCATTAATCGGATCTTTACTTCAAGACCACGCGTGTTCTCTGTCGAAGGTACAGGGGCCTGGCCGCCAATGTTTGATGATATACGTGCCACTCACTCCGTCCATCCCTATTTGTGGAGCGTCCATCTTGTCTGGCATCCTGCGACAGTCTACAGCGCTGGGAATGTGTCCGTTTCGCCCGATGTGCCCTCTGCCAATACCCATCCGCCAAATTCCAGCGAACTCCAGAACTCAAAAGTGCAAAAGCGCGGACACCACCCGCAACCTTGAACATCCCACCACAGGTGCATGTACTCACAACCCCTCACACCGAGGTGTTGTTCGGAAGCCCGTCACATCGTACGCGACTATGCCTGAAAATCGCGGAGGCAAGTACAGTAAGTGCAGGCAAACTGCGCCGCCTCCAGCCATGGGTACTGCGTCACTTGAAGCCGTGATGCTGCGACATTACACTAGACAGTCAGACAGGTTGTATGCCAATCATGCACAGGCACAGACAAATGGAAATGACATAGTTCGCAGGAATGCAAGGCACCGGGGACACGGCCGAGGTGGGCGCCAGGCACCTGCAACTCACCGCAGAACTCAATCAACAGTGCCTGGGAAGGCTCCACTTGTGCCTGTCTCGAGGGACCGAGATGAAGACCAGACGTGCTCCCGGCGGCACTTTCGTTGCACTCAGGACCTGTGAATCACCCAAAGTTTGCTGCATCGCGTTTGGATTGAGAGCTCATCCTACCACTCGATGGTTCCTCCTCGAGTCGTTTGCATACAAGAAGAATCGATGCTGTGCATCCGGAGCTTGACCATCCGAGAAGAATCGGCAAGACTACCATGGTTTCGAAACCCTTACAACAGGTTGGCCGCAAACTTCAGACCGGGCATGCACTGAAAGCTTGAGAGACTCCCGAGCACATGCGTATTAGATGCTTCGAAAGAGAACCGATACATCATTCGTGTCTCGGTTCGAAGGTGCATGCAGCCCTTTTCACGAGAGGGTGAACAAACTGGCGGACACCTCTGAGAGTCCGCTGTCCGCGAAGCATGAAGTTGCTCACCATCAGACAGCTTCAAAACTTCTGTGGCCTAAGAAAAGTTTCAAGAGTTTGGTGCTCCAACATCAAGATCAGAACAAGAAGTCCGTGGAACCCAATTCTGTCTTTCCCAGTTCAGAAACGGCCAGCGAATGTATGGATAACACATGTGTGCAACCAATACGGCAGTGACTGCAGACAGCACAAAAGCTTCTTTTCTCACTGCAGTCATCCCAACCGCTTAACAGCCAGCGTAGGCTTTTGAACCTCAGATGTTGCAGTCACGTCTGCACAGTCGCTTCCCAATAAACTGGAGCTTTCAGGGTCCCCAACCTTTGCGCCGCCAGTACCTTCCGCCTCCAGCTGTCAGCGTGGCTGCGACACGGAACACGAAGCTCCGGAGCTCAGCCTCCGCTGCCCTGTCACAGAGGCCGACCAACAGCGCCGAGGGGTTGGAAAGGCCCTGCCACAAATCAAGCAGGTTCCTCCTCAAATCTTCACACTCTGAAAAAGCCGTCCTCGGTGGGTCTGGTGATGGTGAAGGGCTCCTGGTATCTTTCAGAGGACCACGGCCGTCTGCCTGCGGCCTAGGACGGCCCTTGTCCTCAGCGCTGAAACTCAGCGGCTCCGTGGATGCACTGGCCTTCGCATCCTCCTTGCGTGGCAGAAAGTGTGTCACGTGACGGAACCCAGGCTCTACGCGGCCTCTGCAGCCGCTGGAGCTGTTGCTGATGCATCTGGGAGAGCTACAGCTGGCTGGTACCTGCGACGATGACACTCTGACTGATAGCAGCTTGGGCTGGGGTGAATCCTAGGCATAGGGACCCTTGGGGAGGGTAAAGGGGGAGGGGGTTGGGACTCAGCCGCAAGGGCACTTCTCCGGCAGCAAGTACATCGGAGTCTTGGCCCAAACGGCCATAAGTGCATCCATGCGAGCCTCACCAAATTTCTCTAACATCGCCTGTCCGTGCCTCAAGTGACAACCACCATCCCAGCGATGTCTGAGAAGACAGCCCACGGTGATTTTTGCCACCGCTCTGATGCGAGCAGCACCATGTCCGTGCACAGCTCCACATACAGAGGCCAGGCCTCCGTACGTGCAGGGCCTCTCATATTGAGCCCTGCTCTTTTCATCTCTTGGGACTTGGTGGCATGCGCAAGTGGCCGCATTCAATGCTGCCGGAGGGCCCTAAAAGCAGAGAGCAAAAAAATCAAGTCAGCCGCATGGTTGCGCCATGCAAGACTCGCGGCCTTGGCGACCGCCCCGGGGATCAAGAAGAACACGGGTCTGGGAGACAAACGCCTTCAGCTCGAGGTTACCACATCAGGCCTTCTGAGCCTGCTGCCCCGAGTCGCGAGCTTGATGAGCCAACTTCCAAACTTTCCTGTCGCGACAACTCCTCATCATACTGTCCCGTCACCCAGCCCCCGGACAAGTGCCGTGCCTAGTCGCAGCAGCTCGTCATGGCGCATGTCAGCCTTGTCGGTTAGCAGGCGACAGCTGCTCGGCAGCGCTTTGGGCAAGGCAGGCTCATGCAAGCTCCATAGCAGGTTTTGCTGGGATCAGCTTCGGCTGCCCGCTTTCTGGTGCGCGCCCTCGCAGCGCAGCCCCAGAAATCAGCCCGTGCAGCAGACCGGCTTAAATGTAATGGATATGCGGACCATCGCTGCTGGCAGAGTTGCTCCCCTTGGGGGATGCCAGCAAGGAAACAACGAAAGCCCGAAGCTTCAAAAGCACTTCGAGCATCTTCGAGCTTCAACAAGCTTTAGTGAAGACCGAGCTGTGTCAGCAAAGCCAGGACGCTGCCTGCAAGGCCAGCAGGCGACCCCTCCCCCTCCCCGCGCTCTCCCACTGCCTCCCTAAACATTGTTGTGGGTGGAGACCCTAATCCACCACCCTTTTGCCCTACACCCCAATGCAATCCCCTAACCCCTCCTGCACCCAGCCAAACCTGCATATTACACCCCCTGTACACCCCCTATCACACCAATAACCCCGTTTTCTACAGAAAGGGACGCTGTGGCCCCAGGGCGTCCCACCCTCCAAATCTATAACATACTCCTCCCCGAACCGCAAACCAAACGTGCGCAACTTCCGGTCACACCTCGAATCCCCACTACCCCATCACACCCCTACTTTTTCGCACCCCAGTTACTGCCCCGGACACGAAGACCCTCCACCCTAGCACCCCCCCCACCTACCCACCCATCCATCCTGCCCACACGCACCCACCCCCCGCCCCATCCGACTCTCGCACCTGCAAAGATGCCCAGGATAAGGCCCAGCTCCATGATAACACCAGCCCTATGCTGCTCGGCGGGGTGCGACACCTGAACGCTGGAGCTCAAGAAAGTCAGAAGGACACAAAGCACGGGCCAAGTTCAGCGAAGATTCCTGCTGCGGCCCGTACATCATCGAGAGAGTGCTACACCAGCCGTTGGTCAAAGCAAAAAGTGCCATGACCGCAAAGGCCAACAGATCCTGCCCAACGACATCATTACCCCCAAAGTCTGCAATGCGAGTGCTCCCCGCTGCTGGTTAGCGAACGCCGACGCCTGCCAGGGAGCTGCAATTGAGTTCGGTTTTCGCTGCAGCAGCATAAAGGCCTGGGCGCAAAACAAGGCTGCTACATGTCCGCGTAGCGTACATGCTTGTTGCAAGTAAACCTCTACCGGCACGAACATATCCCGTCGGTGGATGCCAAGGCACTGGAATGAAGGCCAAGCGCAGCCAAACCGGAATGCTGAGCGTCTTGGGGGAAACGCCGATCTTCTCAAAGGCCTGCCAAGCAGGAAGGCACCACAGGAATGACTTGCGACTCGCGAGCAACATGTCGCTCCTACCTTGAATGTCGATCGCCCAACCACATCAAATATCTGGAATATTCCGACCACAAGGGTTGTATACCAGTCCTTGCCCAAGGTACCTGAGCTCAAACACACTTTTGCATGCAACAAGTTGGCACCCCAACAAACCAAACGGCCGCCAAAATACCTTTGCTGACGAAAATGTCCAGCTGTGGAGACCAGTTTGCGGCCACACCGGGGAACACCACAAAGGTCACGACCTTATGATCGCTGGTTGCTGTTTCAACAGTCTCGAAACCCTGAGCACTCTGACAGGGCAGGTGACAGAAATCACTCAATAACAGCCGAAGTTACAAAAACCATCGACACGTTCACCAGCTGAGGGATCACATCCTGCGGAAAGAATGGATTTGGACAGAAGTCTTAGCAACAGGAGAGCAAAGCGCAGAACATGTTTGCCGCAAAGCGAAAAATCAAGGCTCAGTGGGCCCACTTGTCGGGCCGAAAGGTGCCACGGCACGTGGCGTCAGACAACATGGCCAAATGCGTAAGCTAAGGTATGCGTAACTTTCACACTGGTCTAAGTTTTCTTTGGCTCATGATGTCTGAGAACGTAGGGTCACACGGGGCTGCTGTAGCCACTCGTGGAGTGTCTGCTGAAGCTCTTTACTGGCCTTCGTTAGCCCGTCAGCCCACATGAGAAAAGTAGGAACCCAATGGAAATTGTTACCGGGAACCACTTCTTGGATAGCTCGAATGTTGACTAGAGACCGCTTGTCCGTTAAGTTTGGGCTGTCCGAGATAACGCAGTCATAAAGAGACTTGGCATCCGTCACGGCTAGCTGGGTGAGTTTCGGAGTCACCTTGTGGGCCGGCTCGTTGTACAAGAGCTCGCAGAGGAACATGTTCACGTAGGCCCCTCTGTCGCACCCTTCATCGGCGGCAGATGCCTCGGCAGCGAGGGTGCTTCTGCACACACGTTGTGTCCTGCTGGACCTCCAATCCAGAAGCATCGCCGGCGCCGGTTTCTGGAGCACGCTTGGCCCACAAAGCAAGACCAAAACGCCGCACTGAGAACGGCAGTTCTCGGCATTGGCCCAGCTTGCGTCGCTGAACGTCAAAATGACGCTTGCCTTGGAGACGGGCACGTCGGGGATCACAAAGCCGTCCTCCTTCGTAGAAGAAGCGAAGTCCACCGCCTCGTAGAGGGACTTTAAGTCAGCAACTGTTGTAGCGCCTCCGTGGTTCGAGAGGCTGTTCACTGCTGAGAGCTCTGGTCGACTCTGTCCTGCTACCCACTGAAGGCAGCCGGTCACGCTGCGAAACTCCGCCCTTTGTTCCGAGGAGAGGGGCTCATCCAATTTGCTGCCGCGGGGAATCTTCCCGGAAGCCATGCCAGTGATGAACTCCTTCTGGCAGACGTGAAGAAAGTGCCTCCCGTTGGCCCGCTGTTTCAGGGTGATCTGCTTCCCTTTGAAAGTCACCGTCCGGCCGACCTCGAAGTTCTGGAGCGCGCCCCACTTGAAGGCGTTGTGGACCTCGGTAATGTCGTAGTCCAGGCGGTAGGCTCCCAAGAAGTCGTCGACGTAGACGATGATGATGGAGATCAGCTGGCCTGAGGAGTCAAACTTTAAGAAAACCATGCGGTCGAAGGAGTGCTGTCGGTAGCCGAGGTCGGTGAGTCGTCTCACCACGGTCAAGGACCAGAGTCTCGGCGCGTTGCTCAAGCCGTAGATGTTGGTGCACACCAAGTACAAGGGCGCCTTCCAGCAGGAGGTCAGCTCGGTGACGCCGTCGTTGGGCGGCAGGATGTAGAGTGGAAGATCTCTTTCGGCGTCGGAGAGATCCCCTTGGAGGAAAGCCGTGGAGGCGTCTCCTGACCAGCCGCGCCAATGTTTCTTGGACGTGCCGAACTCGCCGTTGCTGCCGGCCGTCAGGACGATGAACAACACGTGCTCCGAAGTCCTGTTTGGTGTGGCGCACTCGCGGTTTAGCCGATATATGTCTGGGTCTTTGTGGCCCAAAGCCACAACTCTGCATTTAGCAGATAACGGCCCCAGACCCTTGCTCTTATCCCGAAAGCAGCTCCGGGTGCGAAGGATGCGCTTGCACAAGACGCGGTCACGGAGCACCTTCTGGGCCTCTGCGTGATTGAGAGGCTTGACAGAGCCCCATTCTTCCCAGCTTCTGGCCTCCTTCTCGACTGCCTGCACGTATGCCTTGATCTCGTTGGGGTCGAGGTCAAGGATCTGTCTCCATGGGATTTCTCTGTCGAGAGCCTTTGCCTCGGCTCGGGTCATGCCGCGGTCTTGCTTCCCTGGCGGCGTGTCACCCCAGTCGCTGTCACTGGTGTCAGACTCGCCGGGGTCCTTGTTGGTGGCCTTGAGGTCGTCGGCGCGGTGCTTGGAGCTCAAATAAGCCCGATAGCATCTCTCTTGACAAGGACCGTAGCTCTCGACAGGTTCTTCTCCAGGTTGGCAGTGGTAAAGGTCCCCTTCGTCCATGTAAAGGGTGGTCAGTGTCTCGAAGGGCCGCTTAGCCGGGAGCAGGTTCGCGTGATCTCCCTCCTGGGTAGTCGGAGCACTCGAAATCGGAGTCGTCGGTGCCCTTTCGGAGGGTTGACTGTCTGGTGCCGCGCTAGGTGCTGGCGTCCCCCTTGGTTCCGTAGTTCCAAAAGAAGACCCCGAAGGAGGAGGTACTGGCACAGAAGCAGCAGCTTGTGAAAGAAGCCCAGTCTCTCCCGGTTGTGGTGTCTCCATCTCGAGGTCAGAGGCGTAGGCCGCAGAGTCCAAGCCGAAAGGTGCTGACTCCCAACCTGTTTCCAAAGGCGTCTGTGGAGCTTGTGGTACTGGAGGTTCTGGAAGTCCTTCTGGTACTTGTAGTGGTAGTTCCTGTGATTCGTGCGGTGGCTCAGCAACTGGCTCTGGAACCGGAGGTTCTGGAAGTCCTTGTGGTACTTCTGGTGGTAGTTCGTGTGGTTCTTGAGGAGGTGCGGGCCCGATAAGGGCTGTCCCAGGAGCGGGTGACCTGCTTCTCGGTGTCCTTGGTGCCGGTCGCCCGCGAGGCGTCCGAGGAATCGACGCTCCTCGCCTTGCTCCTTGACTTGGGTCTCCCAGCCTGGCAGTGTTGTGCACGACAGTGGTCTGGACGTTAGGCTGGTAGACCAAGTTGTTCACAGTCTGGTCCACCTCCATGTTCACCCCCGTGGTGGCTGTGGCGGCAGGTTGTGCAGAAGAAGCCGCCGGAATCGCAGAAGCCATGGCAGCAGCCATGTGAGCGTCGCCGCCTTGGAGGAAGTCCAGGTCCACGGTCTCGTCGGGGTCGCGGGCGTGTTCCAGTGGAGCTGCTGGGCCTGACTCGTCAGCCCAAATGGTTTTGGTCAGGGTCTTTGCCGCATCCTTGAGGGCGGCAACGTCTGGCTCTGAAGGCAGCCAGGCCTCGAAACCAGTAGCTGCTCTCAGCTGCTCCACCGCGACCATTGCTGTGGTGGTCCCGGAACGGACCCATGCCAGCTTACCCGGAGAGGCCGGGTCCCAACTGAGAAACCTGGCTGTCACCCAGCCACCTCGCTTCTTTAGTCCGCGCTTGCGCCAACGCCAGTAGGAGCAAGCTTGGCCGGGCTGTAGCTGTGGAACCTTGGTGTTGTGGGTCTTCCTCAGCAAGGCTCGTCGGAAACTCTGTCGGACGTTCATGTCGTAGATCGTCTTCATGGCCTCAGATCGGATGATCTCGGCAGTGGCGGCGGGGTCATCCGTCGGCGTCATTGCCAAGCTCCCCGAATCAGTGAGAAGGCCGCCGGGAAGTCGTGGAACGCGTCCAAAGACTGCTTGGTAAGCAGACCTCCCCCGGCTCAAGATCATGCTGTTGCAGGCGTGCAGGGCTGGAGCCAGTAGAAGTCGAAGGTCACCATGGCTGGTTGCCGCAAAGGTGTCCACAAGCTTTTCCAGCACCGTCCGCAAGAAGGCGTTCTGCCGCTCCACGTGCCCAATCTTCCAGTGTGCCTCGGCCGGGCAGTAGTCGACCTGGACGCCGTGTGAGCGAAGCCGCTCTTGGAAGGCTCCCTGAAAGGTGGTGTCGGGATCCAAGCCAATCTGGACCATCAGGCCGTAGGGCTTGAGCCACATAGCATCCAATGCCTCGTACGCCTCCTGGGGATCCCGGCTGAGAAGCAGAGCGGCCTGGTGGAACCTTGTTGCAACGTCCACGGCGCCCAAAACCATGCAGCTTCGTCCCTGGAGGTCACGGATGTAGAAGATGTCGACCTCGACGCGGTCACCGAACTGAAAGGCAGTGACGGCGGCGGTGGCAGGCTTAGGAGCTTGGGGTCCTTTAAGTCGAGCGCAGGTGCTGCAACGAAGCTTCCGGATGGCATCAATGAATTGGCTGCTTGGCGTTCCGGACGTCGCGGCCATCCTCAGAAGTTCTTCCGCCGTAGGATGCCCGAGATTTATATGGGCTCGCGCAATAGATCGTCGGACCTCGACCGGGATCTGAGGCGAGAGGTCGGGGAACGAGATCTCGGTCGGGAGCCCAGGTACTGGTGCTTCTGGAGCGGTCGGTCGCTCTTGGACTTCTTCGGGGATCAAGTGGCCGTAGACCAGCAAACTGCATCGCACCGGTTTAGCGAACCGTTGTTTCGGATGGGTAACTAAATTCAAATCCTCTGCTTCTATTGCCTTGCTCCCATCGTTAAAGATCAGGAAGGCTCCCCGAGCAGTGTAGGGAATGTCCTGGGGAAGTCGCCGCTGAGAGGGCATTTGCACTGCTTGGATCTTCTCCAGCTTCATCCGAAAGAGCTGCGCGATCTTGCGGCCCATTTCCGAAGAAGGGTCAATGTAGTAAGGCCGCGTCCCGGGAGTTCCAAAGGATCGGCCCAGCATGTCGGCGATCTCGTCCCACTCGCTCAACTGTGCCACGGGGCTTTGGTAGGTGACAAAGCCTGGTAAAGGCCGAATCGCGCCGGATCCTTGCCCCGCACATAGTCCTGGATCGTGTAGTTGAGGGCCGCGCGGTGGTTGTCAAAATCGACGTTTGCGCCCGGTCCCAGGCTCCGTCCCGCAGCCCCAGGGATTGTAGTAAAGCAAGTGGTGGTGGAGCCCCCGCGGTCCATGGTGAAGTGGCTCATCTCCAAAGAAGAGCCCAGCTCCGAAAGCCCCGGCCCAGAAGGGCCAAGCAGAACCGTGGCGCACCCGCGGGACGTCTGTGCTGAGACCATCTCGGCAATCAGCTCGAATTCTGGATCGCGAAGGGGGCGCTCCAAGAAAGAAAAGTAAAGAACGTATGGCCGAAGCCGTCGTAGTGCTCGTAGTGCGTGTTGTCGTGCCTCCGGCTGTTCAGGAAGTGCTCGGGTCAGCGTCGCCGGAAGAGAAGTCGAGGAGAGCTGAAGGTCGGCCGCCGCGCCCGGTAGATCGTAGTGGTCGCCATAGACGATGAGGATGTCGACCGCAGGTGGTGGTCTCGCTTGGGCAGTCGGCTGGCCCTCGTAGATGCCGATCTCGCTCTCCAGGACCCGCGCTGACCGGGCCCAATCGCCCTTCAGTCTTCGACGAGTCCCCAGTCGAAGTCCTGGTCCGTGTCCTCCTGGAGGAGGCGCCATGCATCCACCTCCATCTCGCTGCTGCTGCTCGGGCGTGACCGTCGTGAACCTCGCCTGGCTGGTGCCGCCAACGTCTTCGGAGAAGCCGCGCTCAAGGAAGCCCGGCTGGAAGGTCGTGTTGGTGTCGCCGAAGACGCCGATGCCCGAGGTGCAGTATTGGAGGAAGATGGCAAGGGAGGTCGCGAATCGAGCAACTTGGTGTCGAAAACCTTGTCGGGGTGTTCTTCCCAAAGCTTCCTGTCTGCGTTCCATCGCCACCTCTTGAGGCATTGCTTGCACCGAGCGAACTTCCCGTAGGCGTTGCCGTACCGGACATAGTCTGGGTGCTTGCACGTCGAAGGCGGGTGCTCGAAGCGGTTGTCCAGCTTGGGCGGCACCATCTCGTAGATCTCGATCGGCACCAGCCCCATGCGCACCCCGGTGGTCAGCGTCACGAAGAAGTTCTTGGGGAAGTCCCGGAGGTGCGCGACAAAGCGCCGCCACTTTCGCAACCATTGCGGTGGAGTGGACAGCTGGCTGGTCAAACCGGGCATCAGCCGTGGCTGTCGGAGAGGAGGGGCGTGAAGCACCAAAATCACCTTGAACCACAAGCTCTGCAGGGGGATCGCTCCAGTCAACGCTCTCTTGCAGGCTCTCCCAGGAACGCTTGCACTGGCTGAACTCAGAGATGCTGACTGTCAAGTGACCGCTGACCCTAAGCAAAGGCACTGTGGTGTCAAGGGCAACAAAGGTCACTGTGTTATTCGGCATGTCGAGTATCATCCCCAAACGGTCAAGAAGGCTATTGGAAGCAAGCAGAGGTATTTCAGCGCAGAGGCCGCCGGCTCCAATAAGGAGGTCTGTGCCCCCGATCCCAACGGGCAAGTACGACCGATTGGTCGCCGTGATGGGCTTGCCGGCTCCAAACTGAAACACATCTCGAAAAGGAGTGGGGTGCACTTGCAGCCCGAAACGGTCAAGCTCCCGAGCGTGGCTCTCCAGCCACCGGTGCCCACAGCAGGTACGCTGGCATGCTGTATCAAGGATCATAAGGCCAGCGAAGCCGGGGTCCTCGAAGCTGCCGGTCTGGACGTCGAACACGACATTGACCTGAAAGGCGGTGCCGTAGGAGCTGCTGCCGGCCTGGTCGGTGAGCTCGATCGAACCATAGTCCCTGACAAAGTAGGCTTGGTGTGCCCCTTTCTTGTCCCGGCCGTCGCCACGGGAGCCGGCTGCCCGCCAGGACGAGGTGGAGGAGTGCCTGGACATTCAGGATCCCCCTTCCAGTGCCCAAGCTGCCCGCAAATCTGGCAGTGAGTCGTGCGCTTTTGCGCCGCGATGTCCTTGCCGCCGCCACGGCCGGATCCTTTGTCGCCCTTGGGTCCGCCGCTGTACTTCCTGCCGAGCTTCAGGCTGCTCAGCTTCTTTGCCGTGACGGTCAAGACGTCCATCGCCTGGGCAATCGTGTCCTCGGCGTGCTCGTCCTCCGGGTCACCGTCGTGCTCGTCCTCCGGGTCGCCGTCGTCGTTGTCGGCAACGTCCTCGTTCTGGTCGGTCGCCTCCTCGGGGATGTCCTCAAGACCGGGCTCCTCGACCTAGTCCGCCACATACACCCGCTTGGCGCCGCCCTTAGGGTACTGACCGCGCCCACCAGCCGGATGGTGGCCGCCACTAGACGACGAAGATCCCGGCGGCACGTGGTTCTTGCCTTTGCCGTCTCCTTTGCGCGGGATCGGTGTTCCATCTCGCCCGCAAACTGGTGGTGCTGCCCGGAACTCGGGGTACTGCATGTGCATGGACTCGGCAATGTCCTCGAATGCAAGCGAGTAGCGGCTGCCCACCAAGATCAATCTTTGATCCTGTGGCGCCAGTCTGGCGCGCTCCAAAAGGCGGTTGCCCCTGCTGTCGTTGTCGTACATCTGGGCAACCTCGATCCCAACGGCCTTGAGGTTGCGTTCGGCACGGCGGTACCTATTGGAGAACGCCCTTAGACCCTCGCCCGGCTGTCGCTGTATATTCTCGTACTCGTTGAGGAACTTGGGCTTCTGAAACACCAGCTTCTGCTCCATCGGCGTCCGGAGGGTGTCCAGGATGAAGTCGATGCCCTTATCGGAATTTATAGACTCGATGGGGGCATGCTCCAGCTCGGTCTCCGCCTCCCCGGTCAAGCTGGTGTACAAGAGGAGCGCAGCCTCGCGAGGAGTCATGTAGCTTGCGATCTGTATTCTCCACAAGGCCACCTTCTTGGCATACTTCGAGTAAGCTCTTGGATCTTGTGGGTCATACTTCCAGGAAGGCGGCTGTGGAGGGGCTCCTCCCCGCCATCTCACTCCACGCTCGGGTCCCATCCTCGACTTCCATGTGGCAGCGCTGCCTGGGCCCTGCAAGGAGTTATCCAAATCACGGGCCGAAGGTGGCGCAGGCTTCCAAGGAGAAGCGCCAGGCATAGGTGAAGTCCTCGTCGGAAAGGCCGGCGGTCGCGGTGGTGAGGTAGGTCCGGGGGAAGAGGTAGGAGGCGTGGCCGGGCACGATGTAGTCCTGCGCGGTCTCGGCGGCCGCGGCGGTGCATCATCAGTGTCCGGCTCCACTATCGGGTCAAAGGTAGGAGCTTCTGACTCGGGAAGCTCTGAAGGCGCATCCGGTCCGGTGTCTGGTGGTCCGCCATCGTTGGTCGTCGTCTGCCGCATTCGTCGCCTTTGTCGTCTCGATGGCCTGGCCGGAGAAGTCGGTCCGCTAGGCTCTCCCTGAGGTCTAGGCGGGGTGCCGGCAGCACCGCGGCGTGGCATGAACATCCAGACGCCCTCGTCGGTCTCAAGCCTGTGGGGCCGGCGACACGAATAGGCCTCGGTCGATTCACATCCCAAGCACAGCCAAGTGCCGTAGATGTTCCTGGTCCATCGGTCGCCGTCACATCTCAAGCAGCGCCATTCGCTAGTGGTAGGTCCCTGGAGCTGGGGGCTTCGCCGATCCGCGGAAACCACAGGAGGTCCTCGCTCAGAGAGGTCTAACTGTGGATCTCTTCCTGGTTCCTCGCGGGCGCCATCAGCAGCATCAGGTTCCTCGGCCTCGTCGCCACCATCGTCCTCGGACTGCATCTGAAAGATCTGAGGGATGAGTGGCATGACGGCCAAGAAGAAAGAAGCCTCCCAGAAGAGCAGGCTCCGGCGCCAACTTAGCAACAGGAGAGCAAAGCGCAGAACATGTTTGCCGCAAAGCGAAAAGTCAAGGCTCAGTGGGCCCACTTGTCGGGCCGAAAGGTGCCACGGCACGTGGCGTCAGACAACATGGCCAAATGCGTAAGCTAAGGTATGCGTAACTTTCACAAGAAGAGATGCGCGGCTGATCCTACACTGATCTCCGCCTTGAGGACGGGGCCAAATGAGCGCTCTCCGGAGATAAGTTGCCGAGCGGGGTCTGACGGCTCCGAGTTGGTGTAAGAGCCTCGGCACCAAGACGGCGTCACGTCCGAAAGCCACGCCAGCACCCGTCTTTGCCGGTGGACAGAAGCTTACCACTTCCACCATCGTGGTGTTCGGCCGTGCATTCTCCTGACCAGTCGGGCTCGGAGGACTCTGATGGTACACGTGCGCTTCAACTTCATGTTCAGGCAACACTAGGCAAGTCCTGGTGAGGGGTGGGCACGTAGCGCACGAGGTACGCGCCAAGGGCTTGCAATGCGGCACAGGTGCCAAAGAAGCAGAACACGACCTGGCCGCCACATCAGCAGCTCTGTCGCACAGGACTGACGCAGACCGCGTGCATGGCAACTCTGCAGGCTTCTATTCCAAAACAGCTTTCAAGACATCTCGGGCTGTTGTGCCTGGGACCAGTCCTACTTCAAATGAAGCCCTGCATGCCGGACCTTCCTCCAGTAGGAGTGAGTTGTGCCTGTTTAGCTTTGTCGAAGTCAGCGGCAGATTGATTGGATAAATGCACGTATGGCCGGAGGCCCAGGCTGGCGTGGGAAGACATGGCCGGTGGTGTCGTGCTGGCCGTTGGCAGTTACAGTTGACTGTTGCCGTGCAGTGTGGCTGTGGGCACCTGCAGTGGGGTGTTTTGGCCCGCAGCAGGCCAAGGCTCGTGGCAGTTCGGGGGTCTCTCCCTCTCCCTCCTCCCTCCGTTCCCCTGTCATGAGATAGGGACCTGCGACTGAAAGGAGCCGGTGCACGAACTCCCTGCCTCGTACTTCCATTTCAAGGGATCTCCAGATAAGAACTTCAACGAAATCAGCAATATAGGGGGAACCACCCCGACAATGCCTTCAGCACCAATGACTCTGCTCATGATTGTGCTTCGCTTCTGCAAGGCTGCCCGTGCCTTGCCCAGTCATGATGGCGCCCATAAGCTTAGGATCTCCCGTGGATCCCGCAAGCCCGCAGATCAGAGATGTGAAGCAGGACTCCGCCAACCCCAAAACCTGCAAACAGGAGAGATCGCAGAGAACAAGGACTTGCACGAAATTCGAAATTGGGATTTGCCAACTGTTGTTCAGGGCACCGCGCAGCAAGCCAGTGCGGCAGCAAAGCCCCAAGTCGAGGGAGTCACAAGATCACCATGAACCTGGCTACACCAGTCTGATGACCAAGCGAATCTGGGTCTGCAACATGATGAGAGAACTAACACGAATCAGCTCCAGCACTACCAGGCAGCTTCTTCTGCACTCCAAAACGCCAGCATGGGCAAGGCCAGCATCATCAGCAGTTGCACCGCAATCGAAATAACATATGCGGTCTTGAAGGGAATCTTCTGTCCAATTTTCACCATAGTTGTGGTTCCCAACACATTCGTTGCCTGGCAGCGCTGGACATCACATCACAGTCAGGAGGTGCCGAAGGGCTATAGTACTACGATGAGACGAACTGAATTGCGTGCACAGGCCTGATACGTCATGGATGCGATGAAGGCCCACTGATGGCCCGGAAACCGGAGCTCAAAGAATCCAACAGCTGTGAGGTAGAAGTTCCATGCCGCCAGGGTCAGAATGCCCAAAATCTAAGTGAGGCCGGAGTGACACAACCAAGCAAAATCACAGCTCGAATAAAGCTGGCGTCTCAAGAGTGATGAAACAGTCAGTCGGGCCACCACGAACAAAGGAACTGAGCCGAGAATAGGGGGTCCAAACGACCCCCTGTTTTCATCAGCCTTAGTTACATGCAGCAAGCATTGTCTCGCTTGACACCTGTGCATTTCACACATCGAAAGCAGAATGAATAAAGCAGAATCTCAAGCTGCAAACCGAGCAGGCTCTACAACCTATGTCCATGTCTCCCTCACACAGCCGGCACGTACCCTACAACATGGCACGTTATGAACTCGGAGTCCATACATGCATGCACCTTTTTTGTGTAGCAACGCATGTGTGCACGTCTCCCAAAACAAGGATGTACCTGTGGATATGTATGATGACATACATATATATGCTACCAGACACCCCCCCCCACCCCGGATCCCGCATTTTAGGATAATAGTTTAAAATATTAGTATTTATACCCCTATCTCTTCCAAAGCCAAAGTCTCGGTCCCACATCACAGCTTGGCTTATGTACGAGATGCTGCTTTTTCGCCAACACCGTCCTCACCAATCTGTATCATGACCGGTTTTGCTTACCAGACCAGTGCCATTGTCAAATGCCTGCACTCAATAAGAGGCGGAAACATATAGACACCAGTGAATGTTTCGTTGACAATTTTGTTCTGCATGTTATAAACTCATGAAGGATGCTGTTTGCCTGGATATCCTGGTCGATGAAAGATTTTCTTGCTTCTTACATTGCTAGCCGTTCAATACTTACACCATACCTCCCTTCCGTTTGCACATTCTAAACTTGTGCATAGTGAGTACTGCTGTATCTGAGAATCACCAAACTGTTACCTCATTACCGCTTACAGTTACGAGCTAGACAAATGATGGTAAACACAATCACTCTCCTGCTTCAGATCCTCAAAATGTAAACAATCCGGCGTACGAATCAGCAGCTTTTGCACTGCTCTGCATGTGCATCGTTGGGAACTTCGCAGAGCCACAAGAAAACTGAGGCACTTGATCCTGACTGATGACTGGAGCTTTCCAGCCGATCAAGCATAGCCCCATAGCGCTTCATGCAACTCTGGCAGTCTGATACTGCATCAAATAACTCACTTCCCTGTCAGTGCATGGATTCAGAAGGGACCCGGGTGGGAAAATGATAGAAAAGGGGAACTGAGCCGGATCTGCATTCGCAGCTCGATGATTGTGCCTCCGCACATGTCACAAAGATGGCATTCAGACCTGTGCTTCCATACAAGAAAGTTCAGTATGGTCAATTTACCATCTAGGACAGCACTGCCCCACCTGCAGTTGGTTCCGGGGCTCGCGGCTTTCTCACGGCGGGGACATGTTAAGCGAAAAGGACTCCTTTCTGATGCTCATAATGCTGGCTTCTATGGCTCGCAGCTGTCTCTCGACTGCGGAAGACGCCTAAAGAACGGACAAGACCTCACAGAACCCTGCAAACTCGCCCCTGGACCCTGTTGTACAGCACTAGATGAGGACTGTAACACCTCAAACCTCAAGGAACTTCAACATCAACCCAACCCTGAACTATCCCGCCATGGGTGAAGCCTCTGACTCAGAACCCTTGCAACGACATGTTGTCAACAAATCTCTTCTTTAGAGGCATGGTGGGGCCCTGTAAAACTTACCATCGGCTGCTAAATTTGGGTACACACACGCCCAAGCCGGCTGGGTTCAAAGTGCAGGCAAGCTGCGCAGCCTGCAGCCATGCGGGCTCCGTGCGTTGAAGCCGTGAGTTGAAGCCGAGATGCTGCGACATTACACCAGACAGACGGCATGCCGGTCATGCACAGACAAATGGAAACGACGTACTTTGGAATGCAAGTCACCAGGGATGTGGCCAAGGTAGGTGCCACGCACCTGCAACTGACCGCGGAGCTCAATCAACAGAGCCTAGCAAGGCTTCACTTGTGCCTGTCTCGAGGGACCGAGATGAAGACCAGACGTGCTCCCGGCGAGACTTTTGTCGCACTCACCACCTGCGAGTTGCTGCATAGCGATTGGACTGAGAACGTTGGATGGTTATCTGCATGTCCTTCCTCCTCGGATCGTTTGCATACAAGAAGAATCGACGGGGGATGTCCGGAGATCGAACATCCAGGCCATACCCCACCATATGAAATCGAAAAAACTAAGTAAGGCATCTGATTTCAAAATGCCAGGTTGTTGTCAAACTTCAGACCGCGCATGCAATATGAAGTTGAAACACTTCGGTTAGATGCATGGACAGAGAACCCTTTGTGTCTTCGTTCCAAGGTGACGGGCTGACAACTCCCAGAGTCCACTGTTTACGAAGCATAAAGTGTGGCCACGGTCGGACACCACAAGTGCTTCCGCTATGTCTTTCCTTGCAGACCTCCAGTGCTGTATTGAATCGTGACCTTTCAAGAGCGAAAAGTCCACGACATCGCTGCAAAAAACGAAAGCACACACACACACACACTGCAAGCTACAAGATTTGTGCATGTCAACTTCAACTCAAGCAGCATAAAGCTTGGCTCTCTACGTACTTATATATGACTACATATATATAACTACATATATACATACATACATACATAGAGAGCATACGTATACAGCTGCAATACGCAGCACACATGTCAGTCTCATTCAATTAGAGTCTCCCATGCCGAAAATGGTGGACAACTTTCCCGGCCGATTGTTCAGCGTCTCGTCTAAAAACCAATAGCCGGAACGCATCTTCTTGCCGCTGTGAATTTCAGCAACCTTCTAGGCCCCCGGCAGACAAAGCCCCGTCTCGAATTAGGCGCCTCTTCTTTGGACGTTTGGACGGTGCAATGGAACACTTCTTCTTGAGAAGTTGTCTTCGAAAAGGAAGCGGGTCGCTTGTTGGCGATCCATGGCGGTGAGGAAGCGGCTCTGTTTTTGTTGCGAAAAGTGGGCGGAGGTGGTGCAGGTAGTCGTTTCAGTGGCCTCAAATTCCATCATGTTGTTGACATTCTTGAGCTCAATAGGTTGGTGTTGTGGCGCACCTGATTTGCGCATGTCCTGGAGCCACCCGTCCAGATGACATCCGTACGGACAACGACGACCGCCTCATCCATCACGACAAATGCACTCTCTGCGGCCGATCACACGAGTCTTCATGTTTCTCAGGGCACATCGAAAGGGTAGCGTTTTACTTACCAATCTTGAAAAGCAGCCCTCTTTTCACTCACGAAGAGCCCCAATGCAACCTCGACGCCATATACATCCCGCCATTGGCAACGGTCTATCGGGCACTGCTGACAGATCCAGATAGCATTTTACTGAACGGACTCGAAGCTTCTTCTCAACCGTTGCAGGTTTGCCAGATGCAAGAACCGGAGTAAGCTGTTCACTTGAACTTCCGCCGCCGAACCGAACATGTTCGTTTGGATTTGCACACGCACAGTGTGAACAGACAATAGACGCTGCATGTCTCTGTTAGTCGTGCTATGCACCTGAGACGCGCAGATACCGCTATAGCAACATCATACTGCACAGACTGCAACAACACAGAGAGTTCTTTTGAGGCCCAGATTTACGTGAATGTGGAGCTTGGCTCTTAAGCACTTAACAATAACGCACTGCATGTTGAGCCAAACACTGCCAGAAGCGACTGGGTTCCAGAGCCCTCGCTTTTTGGAGGGCTTAGTTAAGAAGAACAGACGGGTGGCAGATCTTCAACATCAACCCTAGAAATGGGTGGAACATTAACAAGGGATGTAAAACCAAGACCCGAAGACGACAAGTCCGAAACCCAAGCCGAGCCTCAACATGTGATTGATGCGGAGCCTAAAACCACAAAAAACGGCGCTGGGTTTGCAAACCCCCCAACCCTGTTGGGTAGGATGGTGGCACACTGAAGCAAAGAATCGGGGCCATCGGAAAGGAGTAACTGATCCGTTGGCGGCGAGGGATGTAGAAGAGCACGCGCTTGGTAGGTGAAGATCCGAAACCATCCAATCTGAGCGAGAACTGCCTGCACTTGTCATGTCCGAGACCAGGCTTGCCGGATGCTGCGTTGGTCTGCGCAAGATATGACCCAGTTTGGTGCGGGGCCCAGGCCTAGGCTTAGAGCGGTGTGCCACACTGGATTCGCACAGGGACTGTGCGAATGCCGGACGTCCACAGCAGTTGAAGCGCACTTACGATCCAGGTCAGAGAAGGGAAGGTCGATCATGGATGACGAAAGCTGATGTCGATTTGCTTGGCTTGCGGAGAAGTCATGCGAGGGAATCAACCATGGGGATGAGACAAAGTGCAGCGAAACGAAATCTGGTGCGAGCAGACCGGGCAGAGGGCTGGAGAAAAAGAAAAACGGAGACGAGCCAAAAGAACCAAAGGGAGAAAAAGAACGAGAAGCCACAGCAGGCAAGCCCAGCCAAAGCAATTCAAGCCGAAGGGAGATCAGGGCCAAAAGCGGTTGGGAAAAGCAGGGGCAGTGTATGAAAAAGCCATCAATCATAACACCTGCACCGGTCATGATTCTGGTACAACCGGCCTCCGACTCGGGGGGGCTTATGCAGCTCGATGTGCGTGAATGATTCGCACACCTATGAAGCCTCCAGGGTCGAGATTTTACAAGATCCGCCGCAGGCCCGAGGTGCCCTGAGCGGAGCGACGTTTTTTTGGGATGGCGACTGAACTTATTCCTACATCCCTTTCAGGCTCAGGCTTTACCACCCAATGCGCCCTTTTGGGGTAAAAGGACATTTCGCCACGTAACATCTTTCTTCGGAGTGCAAAGCCTCTTACAGGGTTTAGGCTTCGGTGGGTTTAAGATTTAGGGTTTGCCACCCGACACTTTCTTTTGCGGTTCCGGGTTTCGGTCTTAGGGTTTGCCACCCAACATCTTCTTTTAGGGTTAAGGCTTCGGTTTACGACCTTTTAGGGTGTGGGGCTGGGTGGCTGGGTTTACAAGGGCTTCTGCTTCCACGTTTGCCGCCCAATATCTTCTTTTTGGGCTTAGGCTTTGGTTTAAAACCTGTGCTTGGCCACCCAATGTTTTCCTTCCGGGTTTCGGGCTTGGCTTCAAGGATTGCCAGCCAACATGATCCAGTGTTTAAACCTTTTAGGGTTTACGCTTCTGGATTTAAAGCTTCTTCGGCTCCGGGGTTTGCCACTTAGCGACATCTTTCAGGGCTTAAGCTTTGCAACCCAACGTGTTGTTTTAAGGTTTCGGCACTTGTGGGGTGTCTGGCTGGCCACCCAACATCTTCTTTTGGGGCAAGCTTCGGCTTACAACCTGATGACTTTGCCTAGTAGGGTGGAGAGTTTGCCACCCAACATCGTCTTTCAGGGTCTAAGCTTTAGTTGACTATCTTATAGGATTAAGGCTGTGCCACCCAAAGCCACCTTATAGTGTAAAAAGCTTTTGCCGCCCAACATCGTCTCGTAGGCTTGAGGGCTTCTTTCGGGTTGAGGGCTTGCCGGCCTGCTTAAGGCTTGGTCTTAAGGTGTGCCACTTGACATCTTGTTTTAGGGCATATGGTTGTATTTACGACCTTTCTAGGGTTTGCGAGTTAGGGTTTCCGTTTGTTCGGCGTCAGGGTTTGCCAACATCTCCTTTATAGGGTTGGGGCTTTGATCGGCTTCGGAACCCAATGTCTTTCTCTTTGTTCGCGGGTTTGGTTTGGGGTTTGCCACGCAACACCTTCGTTTAAGGCTTTGGCTTCGGTTTACGACCTTTTTGGATGTAGCGTTTGCCACCGAATACGACGTCACTCACAGGATTGCGGGCTTGCCGCCCAAAGTATCTGTTGGGGTTTCGGCTGTTGCTTGCGACCTGAAGCGCACTGGTGTTGTAAACCCGACACCCTAAACAGGCTTCAAACCAAAGCCTGAACCCTACAAGCAAAGACAGAAACCCCAAAACAAAAAGGACTCTTGGGCATCAAACCCTAAACCCAAATGAAATTGTGAACCGAACCCTAAACCCCCCTCAAAAAAAAAGAGTTGTTGGGTGGCAAATCTTCGCTTTGTCTGAAAATATGGCATGCCTATTTGAACCGTAACCACAAGGTTGGTTCTTCCAACTCTGTGCGGAAGTCGCTTTCGGGTACAAAATATGCACAAGTTAGTTCCTCCGAGTTTACATGTTGCTCTGCAACTCAGATTTGATGGCAAGAGTGTTGGCTTGTCCAACTTTATTGGCCTGTCCATTTTCTGGATATTTGAATTGAATGCCAAATATGTTAGTGTGTCCAAAACCTACGGAACAGCTGTAGAGGAATGTCACAACAAAGGTAGCAATCTGGAGCAGGGAAACGGCCGAAAGTGGGATGGGCTCTCCTTTCCTCTCTCGTGCAAGTCGAAGGGCAAGCCTCGCGTGCGAGCACCTGGGCACCTTTGGGGTTTGCAGCGTTGGACTTTCCGATCACGACCTGGGAACTTTGACAAGGCAAGGATTGTCAAGGATCGCAGGTCCTTGGTGCAAAACCGACTTTGGAAACTTCTGCGCGTATTCCTCAGAAGGAACGGGAAGAGCATCCGCGGCGTCCGCTTTTGTCTCAGACCCGAGGCCCAGGCCTCCAGCGCGCTCGCCGGAAGCACCTTAGAGAAGAGTAAAGTAACAGCCCGAATCAGCCTCAGACTCACTCTCACTTTTTGTCTACTTCTGGCAGAAGCACCAACGGAGCGGGAAAGTCGAACTCCTCCACGGCAGTGAGCCGATCCTCAGTTTGACCGTAGCGCTGCTCACATGTCGTGCACCCGAGTGGAACATGTTGCCAATGCATGTTAGTGATCGAGTTCGATGGCCAGACAACATCCAACAAACTCTGGTTGTATTGGAAGCGTGCACCGAGAATCGCTGACGGCGATCACTCTCTGGGATGGAAGGGTGAAAAAAAGTAGGAAGGTGGCTTTGCCAGACAAGAGTCTAGGCGTAACTCATGTCGGTGGTTGAGCTCGCCCCTTTTGGGCGTTGGGCTTCGCACCCTTCCTTCCATTCTCTTGAGGTTCTCCTAGCTGTTGACTCTTGGGTCCAGACTTGTTTCATGCCATCGACCATATGACTGGTCGGGAGTTGGCTTCCGTGAATCAACTTGCTTTAGCCGCTTTAGCCACACTTGGTGCTGAGACATGAACCCTGCAGACTCAATCAAACTCAAGGCCCAGACCCGAAGGCCATTGGCCGCTCGGATACGGTCCATCTGGGATGAATCGCCGGCCACCTGCACGGTGACTTGGTGGAGCTACAAATAGTCATGGCTGCATCAAGGAGACACAGACACCTTGGAAGATTCGTATCTGGCCACCAGCTCGACGTTGGCAGGTTTCGCTTTGACATGACGTCCTGGCAGGCGCGATAGTAGCAAGTAGCGCCTTGCCTGTTGGCTTAGCACGCGCTTAGCGGGCTTAGCGGGTGGGCTGTCGCGCACGACCATGCACTTTCAAGCTGCGGAGTCCGTCAGACAGTGTGATGTCGTATCTCAGGTTCTCTACCTCACGCAAAGGCATGGAACGGTCTCAGTGCTCGTTCATGCTTGCCCAGGCAGCTGCAAATTTAAGTATACGACATCAAGCCGCCCACATTCTCCGATGGCTTCCTCAGTCAGATGAAGACATGCTAGCCCTGCTGGCCCTCTGTATGCGCTTGCTGTGTGTCTTGAAACATTTGAAGGATGAGGCAAGCTTCGTTCAGCTCTATGGAGTCTAAGCCGCGGAGCTTCACGATGCATCCAGTCATTACCTCTACGTACCAGGTACACAGTCGGTGCTGGTCTGTGGCCATGGGCGAGCCTTGAAGATGTTCTCCATCTTGATGCTCTTCTCGCCTTTGCCACCCTGGTCCAGATCTCTGTCCGCACGAGTGAGTGCATCATTATAAGACGTGCTGAGCCTCCACACAAACCAGAAATCGCTTTGTTTCTTCGTTGTACCTTGTCAACGAATGCGTCTTTACATAGTCTGCACGTGCTCGAGAGTCAGTCCCCAGCTCTTTGACCACTCCCATGAGACCGTTGAGATCCTTTGCTCCCTCAGGCTCTGCGAATCACGGCTCGTATCCAGATCGCTACTCTGTTCGACCTTGAGGTTCAGGAGTGCGACGGATTTATCTTTCCAGTCCTGTGCTCGCGTTCGGGCACGACGAGCAGGATGCTACCAAGTTCGGTCCTTTTCGAAGTCGAACTCGGGAAGCTCCTCCTCCTCCTCTTCTTCTGCGGCCCCAGGCCTTCTCCAACAGAAAAGCATGAGAAACCGTCACAGCGGGCGACTGGGCGCCAGTCTCGCCAACACGGGCTTTCTTGGCTGCAGGACCGTCTGCCTGAGTAGTCTCAGCCTAGCCACTGCCCACTCAACCGTGACAACCAGATGAATAAGAGCCATGCAGACAACGCGCCCTGTGCGAAGGCGAGGCGCTCTGCCGCAGTCATGGAGTCCTTGCACACAACTTGCACCTCTCACGAGTACCGGTGCATACGACGCAAAAATACCAACTGGCAGTGCCTGTCCTTCCCCTTCTCTTTGCCTTTGCCTTTCCCTTTCTCTCCTTTTCCCTTGTCTTTGCCTTTGCCCTTTTCCTTGCCTTTCTCTTTGCCTGCCGTGCTTGCAGGAGACCTTCGGCTTCAAGCTTTGTTGCCATCCGGCCTTTCAGCCTGGCACGCTCGCCAGGGGCATACTCGTATGATCCATCTTCTTTCCAGACCTCCGGCGACGAGAGATAGCCAGTGGTCCAGGCCACATTCCAGGTCACTTCGGCCCCGGCCCCAGCCATCGCCGCTGGCCTCAGGAGTCACCGATCCGATGCACTTCCCAAACTGCCGACTATGAGAGCAAACACGCTGTGCCACAGACCATGCAGAAAGGATGACAAGGATGAGGTTACATCGACAGCTTCATCATGTTGTGCATTCTGCTACTGCTACTGTTTGCGAGTTGAGGTCTTTGAACAACAGAACAAGAGGAGCTGTAGCTGCAACTACCGCAACTTTGTATGCAACGACATCAAACTTCCCCCCGTAAGAGTTGGGCTCTTGAGCAACAAGCGCTCGCAGGCCTGTTCCTCATGAGCTGGATCGACAAATCAGGATCACGAGCATTTCCTTGTTCAGGCAATCCAGACTGGGAAGCTTAAATCGAGTGGGTCGCAGTGTGAGACGAGAAGGGTGAGCGTCAGCCTATTTCAGCTTAGCCCGTGCAGCAGCACAAAGCCGTCGTGACCTGTGGAGGCAAAGCTGGCATCGCTCACTGCAGCCACTGCCGTGACCCCACCCTTGTGCGTGTCCTTTATCTGCACCTTGGAGTCGGGCTTTTCAAGGTCCCAGACGAAGAGGTGGCGATCCAAGGATCCGCTTACCAGCTTCTTGCCACCCTCCAGCCAATCCAAGGACGAGACTCTGGCTGTGTGGAAGTTCCAATCGGAGATTTTGGCCACTGGATCGCCGTCACTCAGCCCCCAAACCACGATCTTGTGAGCAGCATCGCTTGAAGCGAGGTGCTCTCCTGTTGGAGAAAATCGCAAGGCCGTGACTTCAGCCAAGTGCTTCTGCAACAAGGCCTTCTCAACAATGCCATCGGCAGTCTCATCAACGATGTCCATGAGGTGGATATCATACTGCGCACTAGACATGCCACCTGTTTGCCCTTCGGGCTGCTCCAGGGCAACTGCGACCTTCTTCCCTGCGAGTGAAGCAAAAGCAGTGGGCCTTCGTTTCACAGCATCGGCTTTGCTCCAAACGATTGAGTCTGAGATGCAGTGGAAGTTCTTTTTCCCGGTGGCAACGATGAGCTTCGATTCACCAGCGTCAAGCCAGCCTGCACCGACCATGAACTCCTTGACCTCGACAGGCGCGCTTGCCTCGCCGGTTTCCAGCGCAATCTTGCGGATGCAATCATCAAGGGAGACGATCCAGGCTTCTGGCTTCCCGGCGAAGGAATCAGAATGACCCAGGACATGCTGAATGCCCTTACCAATACTTGCCCTGACAACCGGCCCTGACGAAGGAGCAATTGCAACGGAGCCCTCTGTCCCTCCGTAGACCAAGCTCTTTGATTTCTTGTCGCAAGCCAGGCAATTCAATGGACCCTGCGTGCCGTTGATGGTGCCGGCAAGACTCAGGCCAGAGGTGACATCCCAGAGCAGCAGCCGTCCGTCCAAGCAGACGGACACCACGCGTGAAGGGGATGCCCAAGATACGCCGACTTGCATGTCCGCCAAAGTCGTTCCGACGGTGGCCTCTGCTACCTGGGCGCCTGCCTCTCGATCCCAAATGCGGAGCTTCTTGTCCCCACCAGCAGTGGCACAGCGTGCCGAGTCCGGGGACCAGGCCATTGCCCAGAAGCTGCCAGAGACGCCCTCGGGCTTCGCAAACTCCTTCAAAAACTCTCCTTCTTTGCCCTCGTAGAGACAAAGCTTGGAGTCAGAGCCGGCAGAGGCAAACCAGGCACCGTCTGGCGAGTAGCGCACACAGTTCACGAAGTTGGAGTGCGCATTGTGAGACCTGGTCACGAGCAGAGCCACGTTTGTAACCGCGCTTCCTTCTTATCTGACTCCGGCTTTCAGGCCTGACGAACTTGAAGGGTGGACCTTGGTGGAAGATGACTTGCATGTCCTCGCCGCCGGTGACCACTTTGAAAGGCCTCTGGGACCGGAAAGCAATGGAGTTGACCTCCACAGCAGAACAGGGAAGCTCTGTCTTACACGATCGCCTGACGCGTGGTGTCTAGATTCAAGACTCGACCGGGCCTGCTTGGTGTGGCCGGTTACCTCGCCTGTTTTGCTGCCGGTGTCCCAGATCATTGCCGCTGCCCTTACTTCCTTGCCATCGCCAGCCGCAACCAGGCCTCGACTTGCCCATCGAAAGCTCTGCTGAGCGGGAAGACCACTACGGCAGAATGACCCTCGAGGCATTCCCAAAGGCCCGGGACCAGATCTTACATCAGGACATCTAGCCCCAAAAGGAAGATCTTAGAACACACGAGCCCTAAAGCCTAGAATCTGAACAAGACATTTTATCTGGCCCCGGATGTTCTGCAAACTGGCGGAGCATCAACGCGAGCATAAAGCCTCCGATTCCTGAGGTGTTGGTCCTGCAAGTTGATTAGTCCTTTGTAAACAGATGCTGCAAACCTGCCAACATTGAGGACTGGCAGAAACTGGCGTCAACTCAGGTGAAAAAGATCGAATACCCGACGGCATCGGCTCTAAGTCAAGATGAGCCACGGCCTGAATCGTCACTCCAGGCCACGTCTTTCACAACCCCGTCCTCGGTCGACAGATCCACGCTCTTTTGTCTTATGCTTGAGGTTTGGAACTTCAAGATGCGTCTTCGATGGCGTTGCCAGATCCAGCTCGAGGCGACTGCACTACAATATCAGTTAGCAGCTTCTTGACGGGAGAGCCGGAAGCCAGCAGGCATTATAGCAGGCCGAGCGTCCCAAAGCCTGTACTCGTTCTTCTGCGCATGCTCCCCTTTGGCACCCCACAGTCTTAATGCTCCCGTGACATCACCGGATACAACCCATTGGCCATTTGGTGACATAGCCGCACAGGTGGTGTTCTTGACATGGCCTGGCAATTTCATATGAGATGGTTTCCGGGCTAACCTCGAAAGCAATCTGTGCTAACACAGCCTCGCCAGCAGAAAATGTCGTCCGGCTTTTCGGTTCCAGCTGCCATTGCAGACAGCGGACGCCAAATCACGTTGCTGCCACTGCAGTACAGGAGCAGCTCACCTGGAGGACTTGCAACTGACATATCTTTCACCCCTCATGCGCATTCCGTCAGAAACGAGCGGACATCAGACAAGCCGCCGCTCTTGTCGCTTGAAATGGAGCAGAAGGTCCCTCTTTCTGTAGAGGGCAGCGGAGGAATACTTCGCAAAGTTTGCATCATTGCACTGCCCGATTCTGCGAGATCAGGTATGTTGTAATCAGCATGCAACCTGCAACCCTCGATCTATCCCGATCTGCACGGAAGAAAGGTTGAAGCTTGCAGGCTGATGTTAGCCAGTTGAGCACATGTCCGAAAACGGCTGGCACAGAACGGGATCTGCAGGCTCCGGACAGCATCCCATGGCATCAGCACGTGGCTGGAAGTACAGTGCCAATCGATGAAATCAACACGATCGCATTCCAGCAATGCGACTCTGAAGCAGCCTGAACCCTCAGTCTACGCATCAACATGGGCTTCAGGGCTTTGCTTCGACTGCGTGTTATTGCCAGTTAGTGCGTTTTGTCCCAGCTTCCCAAGTTGAGGCACCCTCAAGGCTCGCCTTTCCGCGAGAGTGTTTGCTACAAGCTGACAACGATCACCTCCTCAGTTGGAAGATGTTGAAAGGTCGTTGCTTTCCAACCCGTGCACGGGAATCTGCACAATTCACGGCTAAATGGCTCAGGAAATCCGCGATGAAGACCACATAGCTGTTCAACCAGAAACTTTGCTCTTCTTTGCGGCAGGTTCTTCTGGTTCGTAGTTGACCTGGCGGAACGATACATTCGACATAGACCGGAGCATCATAACGATGGCATCACATCTGCCTCAGCAACCTTGTCAACCCAGTCGCTATAAACGTCGACTGCCTGACAGCTGGGTAGTGGCTACAATCATGCTCGCGTCCGTGAAGAAGTTCAGTACGACGGCTTGCCGCAGCAGCACTTCAAGCAGCCTCGCTCAGGTAGCTGATCGGCGACGAAAACCCAGCGTTGCAAACTCGGCACTTCCTCCACTGCAAGCAGCCGCTGGGACATGTGGGACGTCCGTGTCGCAAAACCACACAGGCAAGAGACAAGAACCCGATCTTCTCGAGACGAACCAGCTTGACCTGCACACCGCGCATGGCAGAAGACTCTCTCAATCACCAGACATTTCAAGGCACACTCTACCCCGAGGCATGCCCGTGCTTACGCACTCATACCCACACTTTTTGCTTAGCGCGAACAGCCCATCTTTGCAATCCACGTGGACGCGAAGTTGTTTGCAAATGGCACGCTATGCTGCAAACCTGATGGAATCGACAGGATAGAAGCACGTGCTCAAAAGCTCCAACAAACGCAACACGGCATGGAAGCTAGCCTCTGGCATAAGAAGTACCAGACGCTCTGCTTTTGATGGTCATGCCCGGCCTCCACGGATTTCAAGCTGCCGCAGAAGAGGCAGTCAAACCTGCGCAAGCAATGCTTCTCCCATGCGACACAACGTTCATGCTTAATCGCAGCCCAGGTGCTGTGTGTCCAACTTTTGTTTGGGTTTTGCTGGCGGCTTGGCTCTTGCTCGACGCCGACCTGGCCATCACGACGAAGCCAAAATCCACATGCGCCCCACTCCCATCCCATTCCACAACTATCCAGCAGCCAGCACAACAATGCATCGAATGCTCTTCTTAGCACAGGCCGGGCCAACCCATTTTGTGGTCGGCACGTCAACATGTAAATCATGGGAAGCACTCAGCACTCATTCGTCTGCCTGCACGATGGTACAACCTGTTGCGTAATTGTCCTAGTCTTTAACAATCGAATCTTTCGATACGCAAAACCACAGGACATATGGCATTCGACATGGTAGACTGCGTAAGCACTTCCAGATGGCTGACTGTCGAAATGACACCTGGACCCAGCAATTGCTCTGGAAGGCTGTCGCTGCACTGGCTGTTTGACACCTTGCAAATATCACATCTAAACGAGCAAAGTTGATCCAAAACGCCCAAGCTTTAAAGGCTTGCACGCAAGATGCTAAGCCGTATCACAAATGCCATGATGTCAGGTAATTTGAGGAGTTGTTGTTTTTTGCTTCTTTAGCTTCCTTGAGCTACTTGCCCATACGCGAGACTGGTCGCTTAACCTGAAACTCGTTTGGGAAAAACAAGTGGTTCAAAGAAACATAACCGACTATTTCGCATTCTCCCAGGAAGCCTCGCGGAGCTGGGCAGCACGAGTTATGTCTTCCGAGACAGAGAAGAGGCGAGCATCAACATGAAGCATCATATCAATCCAACGCACAAAGTATGTCAATCAAGCAGAAACCCTCAACACAAAACACATGTAAGAATATCTTGAAGTGAATGTCAAACTTTTTTTTTGGCGTGGGCGGGCCTCAACGACAGCAAGTTGCTGCACTCGGTCCCAGCAAGAACTACAAGAAAGCCAAGAACTAAAGATACTGTACAAACAAGAAAGAGCAAAAGTGAGACAGGCCGCGACTGGCAGACTTAGCCGGCAGACGTCGTTCGGCAAAAACATACGCAAGCTAAGCCAATGGCCAGAGCAGAGCCGGGATGTGGCATCGCCACAACCGTGCACAAACCTATTCAGAGCTGCAGGCGAACCTCAGGCGCATGCCATCCCCCACAGCCAAATCCCACAGAATGCGGCAGAAGTGGGCAGGATGCCATGTGCTCTTAAGAGAAGCTGTGCTCTGATGAATGTTTGTGGTGTGTGGTTACAAGCCTGCAGCCCAAAAAGAGATATTGCAGTTCTTCCGCCAGCTCTCCTTGTTCCCGGAATTGCCAGGCCGCCACCTCTCTTCGAAGTTGATCCCGGCCCCAAGTGTAAGCGCGAATACGCCACAAAAGAAAGCATCGGCACATCCGCAAAGTTCCTGTGAACAATCTCAGCGAAGCGCGCATCCAAGAGATGCTGGCCCATCAAGAAGAGCGCCTTTGAGGGCCCACGCCAAAAAAAAAATCGGGATACCACATGCTGCCTTGGATCAGAAGTAAAGTGAATGAAACCAAACCCTTCTCTTCACAAACTCACTCGGAGCACCGTGTTTTGTCACTGCTTTGATTGTCTGTTCGGCTTGAGAGCTTTCATGCTGCATGTCCTTCGGTGGTCGCGTTTCGTGGCATGCTCTCCTCTTTCTCTCTCTCTCAATCGCGCAGAAAGGAGCGGACGCATACAGCTTGGCGAACAAGTACCGGAAAAACTACACACACGATGGACATGTCAACACAGGGCTCTTTGCTACCCTTTTTTGGGTGAGACGACCGGTTCGCGTCATGTCGGCTTCCCCAGACAGCTTTATGGAATACTTCAAACGGAGCAATTGCTAAGTTCGAGTCAATGTCGTCCAGTGGAAAGTTGGCTGTGCAAGCTTTGACAAATCAAAAGTATGGTCATCCAGAAGTGTGTCCCGTCGTACTGACGGGATGTTCCAGAGGTTCCGGTTGCGTCATTGGGAGCCACTGGTCTCCCATGCTTGGCAAAACACGTAGGCAAAAAGCGGCAGGGTCAAGTGGAACAAACGTAGGGAGGCACACCACAAACCTCCAGAATAATTTGTTGGAAAGCGTGATACCAGTCGAGGTTGATGGGTCAGATGGAAGAGCATAGGTTTTTGGAGTGTTCCGGAACCCAGGGTTCAAACTCCCGGGGGCCCGGGGGGGGGGGGGGAAACATATAACTCCGGAACTCAGGGTTGAACCCTGGGTTCGAACTTCTCGAACCCAGGTTGAACCTGGAGTTTGAACTCTATGTTCAAACCCTGGGTTCGGGAACTCTATGTTCGAACCCGGGGTTCGGGAACTCTATGTTCGAACCCTGGGTTCGGGAACTCAATGTTCGAACCCGGGGTTTGGAGAACTCCATGTTCGAACCCCGGGCTCGGGAACTCCTCCTCCTTTCCCAGAGAGTCCGAACCCTGGGTTCGGAACCCCCCCGGTCCCCCAAGGATCGAAGGGGTATGGGGGATGGGGGGCAGACAAAACAAAGGTCGTAGATCAGCAGGAAGCTCCAGAGAGAAGAAGTAATCACGAATATCCGACTGGGCCACGTACAACTGCTGATCGGACGGAACTTCCAGCTGCGCCCACGTGGAACCTGCGGCCAGAGCTAGTGGCGGCGGCGGTTTGAATCGTTTGTTGACTCCACGGCAATCCAGAATGAAACGGAGCTTTCCATTTTTCTTCTTGACAAAGAATGGTGTAACCAAGTCGGCAGGCCTCAAGGTAAAATCCAACATGCCCTTGTCCACCAGATCTTTGATGAAGTCGGCATAAAGCTGAAGGCCAGCCTGCAGGCGCACGTCCATGTAAGGCTGAAAGGTTTCATCATGCTCAATGATCTCTCCCCACTCCTCACTGTTTCGTAACATAAAAGCCAGGGGATCCTTGACAAGTTCTCGACCTTGTGCATCCATTACGTGTTCCAGCGCTATGGGTTGATCACCGCAATCCGGCAAGGAAACAAGGTCTCGGTCATAGGGTCGAACCGTATTCGAGGATTCTTCACCATCATAGGCGGCTGAAACATGCAGAAGCTCTTTAATAGCCTCTTGCACTGTACATGTTTGCTGGGGTGGTTTGTATCGACCCAACTGCTTATAAATAAAATGTTGACTGTCATATTGCGCCAGTGTCCTAGAGGAATGCTCATCCAGACCCGGTTAGACACAATACATCTCGTTCAAACAGTCAATCACCGAATTGGCCTGCTCCACCCTCTGCTGCACGCGAATGCTCCGTCGCTTAGACGATGTCGAAACACCTTGACGCGCAGAAGGAAGCTCATTGGCAGGCAAAGGAAAAAGATCACGCCACCGACCCAGATGATCTTCAACTTGGGCCCGGCCTTCATCCACAAAACTGCGGTGATCGCGATGATCACCCTGCTCAGCCCTATCACAACCGCGTTCAGGACGGGCTGCAAGTCCCGAACGCCGACCCACGTTCATTTCTGATCCCCGCCGCCTCCACCCCCACCTGTCTTGTTGGGGTGCTTGCGGCGCATAGATTGCTCCTCTCTTGCTTTTCGTGCTTCCTTGGCTATGGCTGCCTCGTCCTTCAGGGCCTGCGCCACATGCGCGGCAAGCTGCATGTCCACACCCTGTGCAGCGCGGCGCCACTTCCAGCCCATGAAGTGATCAGCAGACGAATAGTCCGGTGAGCTCGGCGATATGCGGCGAGCTTCGCGGATCACCTGTAATCGTCGGCAGATCAGTTCAGCACCTTGCAATGCACAAATATTTAGCTGGTCTACTGTTATCAATGACTCCAGAATTCGGCTCAAACACTCGTGCTCATAGGTGCTCCTGTCTCCCTTCGGGATGTCGGCAGTGCGCAGCCAATACTCATGATAGGTCGTGGGTGTCATGTTTTGATCCCGCATGTTCTTCATCAGGTTCAATGAAGTTGTTGGGCCATCCAACTGCAGGCCACCACCCATTGGAACTCCATCCACCATGGACGCGACTGCCTCACTGAACTCTCGCCTCCTGACGCCCTGAGCATCGAACACAACTGGCAACATCCGTCAATCATCCAGGGTGAACTGCTGCGCTTCCGTTCCGGGGACCCTCCAAACAAAGCAGCCTGCACCTCCACCTAGAAGTCCAGGTACCACAGCCCTGTCATCAAGCACGACCGTGCCTGCTGGCAGCTGAGCCCCATCTGCGCAAATCACGTCTCCCTTCTTTCGTCCTCCAGCCTCCTCTATGGCCACCCAAACCAAGTCATCATCGCCCATCATGCCGGCTGCCTGGGCTGGTGCGCCGTGCACTGCTGGAGCCGCCGGCGGAGGCCCCACGGCTGGTGGGGGTTGAGGTGGCGCCGGATGTCCAAGAGGAGGCTGTCCTAGGTTGGCTCGGATGTTGTTCGCCATTGTACACCCTCGTGCCATATGTCGTGCAAGGGCCCCAGGATCCATAGGTTGGAATCCGTACACCGTTTTGGTGGAATTCGCCTGGGTATAGTGTTACTCGAACCCAGGTAAACAAAATCCTCCAAATCGGGATTCGTCACAGCAAGCTCCTCTTCATACATGTCTAGATCTGGTGTCAGCACCACCCAGCAATCATCGGTAGTAGGCGCTAACAGCACCCGGACATGAAAGAGCCTCGGACGATCGCCGTAGTTCATCAAACATAGATGTCCTGGTTCCATTGTTCCTCAATCAAGTGGTCAGGGTCAGAAGTTGACCCTTGGATCCCCCGAAGCCCTTTGGACCTCGACTAGGGGAACCGGGCGATGCTATAGTCTTGTCCACAAGCTTCCAGTATGCCAGGCAGGCTCCAGTAATCAACAGGATGAAGCACAAGCACACCACAAGAGATCCGAACAAGCTGTGGCTATCCTTGGAGATGCACTCGCACCCACAGTGACAAGTGCAAGGCGCGACCCGCACCTCTCTAACTTCAAGGAGAGGCCGCACGCACCAACCTGCCCCAAAGGCCACTCCTGCAATCGCCCACTGGTCCATAGGGCAAGGCATCTACTTTCGAGCTTGAGAGGAGCGCGGCACGGCATGACGTTTCCTCTCCATCATTCCCCTGTGAACATTGTCCATAGACTTCCGTGAGCAGGCGTGCAGAGCTGACAAGACCCAGATTGAAGGCCACCCCATTGATCGTTTCCAGTCCCTCAGCCTGATAGGTGTTCCTGGCCATTTTGAGCCTAGCCCCAAGTGCAGCTAGGTTGGCCATATACGTGAGGGTTCCACATGGTCCCAAGTGCTCCGCAGGCGCTACAGCGGCCGCAATGTCACCCTCGGCCACGCCATGGGAAGGGAAGCACGCTCGGTCTCGCACTCGCAGCAAAGCTGCGTAAGGGACCCGACAGATCCGGTCTCCGAAACGCACATCACAGACCCTCTCGGCAAGGGCGTCCCTGAATAGGCAGCCCCGCACCTGCGCCACTGGCCTCCAGCCACGCCTCTAGCAGCCCACCCTGATTGTGGCCCCGATGTCCCGCTCCATGAGCTAGCAGCTAGCGGGACGTGATCATGCACCGGAGAGAAAAAATCCTGCTTCCCCGATACCCTGCGAACGATAAGCATACGCCGGAGCCAAAGAGGCGCATCAGCGAGCACGTTGTGAGATATCATAAGCACAGCGAGAAGGGCGGCATGCTGTTGCGATGTCCATACTACCGGAAAATCCACAACTGCATCCATACACATCACGGCCAGGAGGAGGGAGAACGTTTTAGAGGCGCCAGGGCATCCTAAGATGTTGAGGGAGGTGCGATTCGTGCCTCGCGCAACAAGGATCGCCTGTATATGAGCTATATGAGAAGACCATCAGGGTCCTCAAGCAGGTTGCTGATTAGTTCACAAAAGGCACGGCCACGGATGTTGGCAGCATCCAGGTAGAACTGCGCGATCTCGTTGCGCGGGACTTCCCATGTCCTCCCTGCCTGCCTCGTTGACCCAGACGACTGCAGCTTCTCCCTGGCCGCTTGGAGTTCCTGCCTATGGAAGGGCCAGGAGACGGAGTCGGCCTGTGCAGGGTCGAAGAGGTTCTCCCACGCCGAAACCCGGCATGCCTGCAGAAAGAGAAGAATGATGTCAGTTTCCACGGAAAAAATCGCGCCGGTGTGTGTGATCGGCCTGGAGGCATTAGGGGCCGGCACACCCAGCGTTAGGGGGACACGACCATTCGGCAAGGCGAGGACACGTTTGAACAGGTCAAGGCCACCTCGTGACTTTAGACAAACTAGTCTGCGGTAAGGCAGGGTGACTGTCGGGGCGTGCTGGCTCGTTGGCGGGGGCCCCAAGAAGGTGGGCCATTCGCGGACGAGCACCTCCACAGAACCTGGGCTGAGCTTCCGTAGATGCCTGGCCGCACCAGGTTACAGGATCAGGGACGGCATCGGTGATGCAAGCAGAATTATCGCAATGCTTAGAAGGCAGTTCATCCAAGTGGGCCGGGACCACACCCCGCGGGCAGGTAGAGTCGCGGCCCTGAGAGCACGACGCTGAATCGAATGCACTTTCTGGAAACCCTGCTTCCAGCAGGCGTCGGCGGTACTCCGGAGACAAGTTTACAGCGTGATTAGGCTTGAAGGCGACAAGCAGCACCCGGTCGCCAGTCCAAGGCATGGTGCAGTGGGTTTCACGGGGGTTTAGGGTACACGGCCCATCGGCAACCCGAACTAAGGACCCAGAGAGGCTAAACCCTAGCTCGTCCTGCACGATGTCGTTGCCAGGCCCTTTTTGCCAGACCTCCCCACCTTGGAATGCGGTGATCGGAATCAAGTAGTTTTGCGACCCCAACTCGTTGTTTACATCGACATGCAAGGCAGTCTGAAGGTTCTTATAAATCGCAACAGCAGTGAAGTCGGCATCTGGAAAAGTTTGCAGCACAAGCTTACACAACAAGTGCGTACAAGCTGGGAAAACTGAGGTGTGTTTCCTGACGCCTTTGAGCGGTCCTTTGGCATATGCTCCTGAAGTCCAGGAGAAAGTGTTTGGTGCCTCTTGACCCCTCGCTGGGGTCTCACTCTCAAGCAGGGTGATCAATTGCAAAACATCGGCAAGCTTTCCTTCCCGAAGCTGTGAACAAAACTGCTCAGCTGGGTGCACCGGCTCAACGGATATTGTCCCCGGCGTATCAAGCTGAATGGAATCTGGCATCGGTGAGTCCTGACCTCCAGCTGAGGTCGATGTGACTGACGTAACAGCGGCCCCACTGTCATCGGTCGACACAAAACCTTCCGGAACACTTTCCGACGGTCACTTCTTTCTCTTCGGACACTCCTGAAGACCATGGTCAGGTGCAGAGCACAATGCACAGACATGCAAGCCTTTGGGGCACGGATCCTGAGTGCAGCCGCATGGCAGATTCCTGGAGAAACAAATGCGCTTCTTATCGGGAGTCTCGGCAACTCCACCCAGCTTACGGATGGCTTCTGGCACACTGGGCTGCCAAGTGCCCTTCTTGCCCTTCCCTTTGCCCTTGGGGGGCTTCGCGATTTTGGGATCCCTCTCAATCCCGGGCTTATGTGGTGTGGCGACCCTCTTCTTGCTTTCCTCCGACTTCCGCGGGAGGAGAGCTACAGTGACGTCAAAGGACTCAAGCGTGGGGAGCAAAGCCCGATCAACAGGGTACGTTCCATCTGCACTCCTTTTCGGACTGATTTCGTTTTCGATCATTCGCGTCCAAACCTGCCTGTCTGCCGTAAGGAGCTGGTGCACACTGGTCCTGGCATAGCCTGGCGGGGGCTCTCGCCCCATATGCCCCAAGAGTTTGAGCACATAACGTTCATGCGCCACGTAGCTGGCGACACCGGCGAACTGGAGAGCCACACCTCGGCGCTTCAGAGCCTCCTGCAATAACAAAGCTGACCCGCAGGCAACTTCGGGCAACCCTTTCTCCTCAGAAATCGCCAGCTTGCCCTCTTCCAAAGACAGGACTTTACTCTGGGCCTTGACATTTTGAATCTCATACATGCGAGTGCCACACTGCTCGGGAGCTATGTAGCGAAGCTGCCCCTCTCTCTCCATTCGACAAGCTGCACTCAAGAGCCCGTGGGAGGGCTCCAATGACCCCTCAAGCACAACACCCGGTATGCTGACACGCACTGCTTCCATCCTCTTCTGACGCTCAACTGTCGGGACATCACGTGTAGACCACTTATCGGGCTGGGTCACCTGTTCCCTGAGGTCATTAAGCAAGAGTGCCTGACTCTCGAAAAGAAGTCGCTTGACGCTTCCTTTCTCACCCAAGAGTGCCGCCGGCATTACCGTGGAAATGAAGTCATCAAACTCAGATTGAGGCAAAGGCGTACCCGGTTGACCGCAAGAGTAAGCCAGCTTGCTCAAAGTATCGATCCCATGGTCCGCGAGCGCCCTGAGGCTTTCGCGACTGAGGCCCACCTCGGTACATCGCGACTTAAAGTGGTGCGTACTCTCTACAAGGGACGTCATGTTGAGCCCACAGTCTCAAGACGAACACACTCGAGCGCAATCAAGCAAGTAGCTAAGAATCACACATGTCACATGTCATGCGAAAACCTCGACACACTCACAAAGCACTTCGCTACGAGCACCTCGCTCCCTGCTTTCTCTCCCGCACATGATACATCCATCGTTTCGCCCAAAAGCGCGCTTTGCGCGGGCCATCATACATTGCGCCGGCAGGTCCGACACTCTTTGCCTCGACTAACTTCGGCCCTCGTCGCTTCACGATATTTCCCACTTACGGGTCGCCCACATGCGAGCAGCATCGGAACATCATCGGGGCTAGCAAGCAGATGCAAGACCCCACTCGAAGTGTTCACATACCACACCTGGTCGGGCACCTCGACTTTATAGCTCTCTTCCACCTGCGAACAGCAGGCTGAACCGCCTCGCTCGCAGATGACGAGGAGGAGGACTGCGATGACTGGGAAGAGTCGCTGCACTCCTTGTCTGAAGAAGCAGAGTTCCCTGCCTCAGAATCGTCGCTGCTGACCACCTCAACTTTGACAGGATTGGGCTTCTCAGCTCCTTTGGACGGGAACGCCCCATCACTAGCGGCTCGCCTCGGGAAGTAACTCGAGCGACTGTTATCAGGGAAGAAGTTCCCCGATGCAACCTCCCTAATCATGTCCTGAAGCCGCCTCACCGGCGCCGCCGACAGCTCTCTGCTGTAGATGGCTTGCGTTGTCTTGACTGAGGAAGCATGCCTCCCCAAGATGCTTTTCAAGTCCTCGTCGAACCCGAACTTACCTCCCCAGCCCAAGCAAGTGCCTCTCAGCGAATACGCAGTGACCCTGGGGGCCGAAGGATCGGTGACCTCCTCAGGCAAACCCAAGAAGGCTCTGAACATCTTGCCCACTTCAGCTGAAGCGATGGACCTCCTCGAGGAGACGACCCCTGACTCGTCGGCAGGTGCTAAGGAAGTCAGGCTTCTCCCCGCGTTCCGAAAAGCGGTCAAGGCTTCATCAATCCAGCACTTTCCATGGACCCCTATCATGGGAACCAAGATCGGCAAGAGCTTGGTCTTAAGCTGCACCTTCCTGGCTCCTTTGTGCTGGGAGACTTCGAACACCAGGCGGGCAGTCAACCTCGACCGATTCAACGAACAGGAAATCGCTCGGGCGAGCCCTAGCGTACAGCCTAATCAGCAGAGACGCAAGGAGTGCGCGGTCAAAGCAATGCAAAGCTCCCGACTCCAACCTCGCGTGCAGCTCAAGAACCTGCGAGACTGTAAGATCTTTCGCCTGGCGAAGCTTGCGCACATTGACAAGCTGTTGTTCAGTGGCTCCAGCAATCCTCTTGGAATCAACGATTCCCGACAACCGGAACCCCAGCACGAAGTGAGCGAACCTGAAAGCACTCAGGACCGAAGCGGCCTTGGAGGCCGGCGCAGAAGTTTCCTTGAGGAACTGCACAAAATTCCACACCTGCACCTCATGCAGCCTGCTTGGGGCCAAGGGCTCGTGGACATCCAACCACCGAACAAAGGTCCAAAAGGATGCAGCACGCTTGTGAATGGTGTGCGGTGACTTCACTCCCACAGCGGCCGAGACAGCCACCAAAACATCCTCATAGCCCGCTTCTCTGCCACTCAATCCTTGAGAGACACACTCATAAAGGGAGCAGCACTCGGAATACCTCATCACAAGCCTACTCCACATTCCGATCCCTTGCTCCCTCTTTCGCTCTCGCTCTGCGGCGGGATCGCGAGCTGCAGCACCCAACGCAATGGCCCGAGCGAAAATCGAACCTGAAGGAGCCTCCTTGGGTCCTGCTGGAGGTCGATGGGCAGCCTGGGCATTATGCGTGACGGGCGGAAAGATCGAGTCCTGCTTTCGGCCTTGCAACGGGTCCCACACGCAATCTGGGTCGAAAAGCAGCTTGGAGACACTCTCCCACGGAAGCTTAAGACCATCGTCGAGTCTGCCGAATCTAGCAACATCTTGCTTGACGAGCCCTCCTACAAAGGAACCCAGTGCATCATCAGCGACACCAGCGGTCGACACAAACTCTCCTGAAGCTGCTAAGCTAATATCTGCAGAGGCATCTGCATGTGCAATCGACATAGACATAGCCTGGTCAAGATCGGGGATCGAAGAAGCCGCCTGCTCACAGGGCGCAGCCGAGGCCGAAGCTGTCCTCGATTCCACATTCTCGACATGAGAATCGTCGCTTCCGAAAAATGTCTCGCATCAGACTTGCCACTTCCCTGTTTGACCGCTCCACAGACTCCAAGTCCATAGGCGTCCGAGCTGTGGCAGTTTCGGGTGCATCGTCTTCCCAGTCTTCTGGGAACTCAAGCGGAGGGAAGTGCAGGTCGTTCTCAACACACTCACTGCCAAAGCTGACACGACTAAAGCTGCCTTCAGAAGATTCGCCACAGCCTGGGAAAACCTGAGGTAAGGGCACATAGCCTGCGAGGTCGCTGACCCCTAAAGGCGGCGAAGGCGGGAAAGTAAACTCACCAACCCCCCCTTGATCATTTGCAGCCTTCGCACGGGCAGGTGCGACGGCACCTGTCGGTGATTCCATCCTAGTCCTAGTCCAAGGTATGAAGAAAATCGGGACCGTCAGTGCACTCCGGCGTTCCTTCAAGCCGAGTGATGCGCTGTTGCAAAATCAGGAACTGGGTCTGCAGGCTAAACTGATTCTCAAGCAAGAGGTCGGCGCGCTCGTGCAGAGCTGTCAATGCTTCATGAGTCTCGTCCCTGAAGGATTGCAAGGCGTCAAGGAAGTCAGCTCTAGCACTATCGACGTTCTGCTAAGGAAAACCGTTACCCTAAACCAAATCCTAAACCCTAAACCCGAGAACGGAAAATGAATGCAATCCGAGCTCGGTCCACTCACTTTTCGATGGGATCGCAAAGATCGGCTGTGCCAGGCATACAAACGGGTTGACCCGAGGATGCCTTCTGTGGGGTGGCGACTGTTGCACCACCCCACTGACAAAAGAACTACGAGCGAAGCTACAACACTTGAGTGACAGCTTCGGACTAAGGGAGCGACCAGAAGGGTCCTCCGGGACTGAGCAGTCCACGCTAGAGCAGAGGCTACAAGCAAGAGGTGACCTGCAGACTACGGCGGTGAAACACATTGGGGCCAATGGCGGGCCCAGCAGGGAGCACGGAAGGACATGGTGCGGCAGCTGCGCGCTGCCGTGAGCAGCATTAGAAGAAGCAATGGCGATGTGAAGGCAGCAGCCTGCACCAGCAAATAACCCGTGGCAGGATGCCAGAGGTAAAGCACAAAGTGAGAGTGAAGATGCAAGGAAGGATAGCACGTTCGATAAGGAGCCGGGCCTAGCCGAGGCCGGCGTGCACGCAAGCGAAAACAGGGCGGGTCGGGTGGGAAATCAAAATTGCGAAGCGACTTCGCTGCAACTTGATCCAAAGCGGAGTGCGGATGCACAGAGCTTCCACGACATGTACTGAGGCAAGAAGATGCAGGCACTGGCAAAAGCGAATAAAGGAAAACTTTCCAGTTTTACCAAAAGAAAGGAAACCGTTTTTCCATTTGCAAAACATCAGTGGACAAGTCCACAAGTACGTTCTGCTAAGGAAAACCGTTACCCTAAACCAAATCCTAAACCCTAAACCCGAGAACGGAAAATGAATGCAATCCGAGCTCGGTCCACTCACTTTTCGATGGGATCGCAAAGATCGGCTGTGCCAGGCATACAAACGGGTTGACCCGAGGATGCCTTCTGTGGGGTGGCGACTGTTGCACCAAGGTAATTTGCCACCCCACAGCACGCTCAAGAAAGCCAAGGAAGTGTGGGCTGAAGGGGGTGGCAGATTTCAGCGAAGCCAAGGCAGGGTGAAGCAGGAAGGGAAAATCTGCACCGCAGGACCAGGCTCCCAGAGAGCAGAGAGCCCAAAGCGTATGCGCTGGCACGGAAGGCAGTCTGGAGGTGTGGGGACTCAGCCGGCCGGCTAAGTGCATCGGCTTTGCAGTTCTTGGCACCTGGGACATGAGACACATCGATAGAGATGCGATGCATGGCCGCCAGGAGGGCGATGTGTTCAAGAACGAGGCCGAGGGGAAACTTTGTGGAAAACATCTTATTCAGACCTGCCTCCGCCCCGGAGTTATCGCAGAGGGACGGAAGGCGTAAAGGAACCCTGCTGCAAGGAGCCAGCCTAGAGAGAGCAAGAATCAGCCCCGCCTGAGCCAGGGCTTCACAACTGGCTATCTCCTTAGCCAAGTCATTGCCGAAAGGAATGCCTGCGGCCTCAAATTCCTGGATCGAAAAGGTTTCCGTCAACCAAACCTGGCCTAGAACCGGACAAGAAACAAAACCTCCCAAACTGCAAGATGGGCCGGACGCCGATGCATCGGCAAAGACTTCAACGTCTGCAACCTGTGACGGGCGCATGCTGGCGAGTGGCGCCACGTGTTGCAACCAACGCTCGAACTGCTGAGGCATTCAATGCGGAGCCACAATCTTTTGTGCGTCACGGCGACTTTGGACAAGTCTGCCAGGGTTGCGAAAGGCACATGACGAGCCGAGAGGAGCTTAGCACCCGCGGGGATGGCAGTGTGAGGCGGTGAGGTCTGAGTGAAGAATCAAGAAAATTACAGATGATATGCCACGATTCCGGAGCAATGCTGAAATTAGTAGCAGTCGGAGACTACAGGTCTTTGTAGAAAGGGTGCAGCATGGCACGCATAGTGGGGAAGAGTGCGCAGGCCACATGGCAAGACCCAGAAAGGATTCCAGTTCCTTGGTAGAAATACGGCCACCGCCTCTCAGAAGGGAACGCACTTGTTCAAGGAGACGCAAGCGTTTTCTTCCCTAAGACCAATCGTACCCGAAGAGAAGCACAACTGCCATCCAATCCAATCGACTCGACAAGAAATTTGTAATTTTTTCCAACTGACTGGAATACCTAAGATCTGAAGAAAAAGGCATATCACAGCTCCTGAAAACGGCATGAGGCTGGCCGCTTGGCTGAAAATGAAGTCGTCCACGAATAGGAGGCCCACATGGGCCAGGAACAGCAGGGTGTGTAACAGGCGCAAAGTGCACCCTCCCACGCGACCCCACCAATGCTGTGAGAAAACTGCTCCGAATGGACAGCAGCGAAAGAAGTATAGCGCGTTTTGCCAAGTGAAGCCGAGCAAGCCCTGCTCGGAATCGCGGATGCGGCAGCGCTTGTGCGCCTGCTTGACATCAATGCAAATGGCCATCTAGCGGTCGGAAGTCTCGCGAATCGGGAAAAAATGCGAAACATCGTGTATGCTCGGGAAACATTGACGTTCCGGCACAGCTGAGAGTTGGTTCCAGCTACGCTGTTGTCCAACACGAGCCATTCGGCCCTCCCCAGTGCCCTAACAACTCCCAATTTTCCCAGTGCTAGGCCCACGGGCCATCTACTTTTCGCTTCCTCAAGCGTGCCCTCAAACTTAAAGCAGTATCTCGCGTCCAACTCCTCCTGGAGCAAGCGCGAAGTGACCTCAGGAGCCACATCGGCCGACTTCCAGTTTTCAAGATTAAGCGCCAATGGAATCAGCTTCCCTGATTGGCCTTTGGGAGGCCAGAAACAGTTGGAAGGGGGTATGTCATTCAAGTACCCGGTCGGCGAGGATGGGCCCCACCCCCTTTGACAAAGGGGGGCTTAAGCCCCCCTTTAAGCCCCCCTTTAAGCCCCTTTAAAGCCCCCTTTAAAGAAGTCTTCCCAAGGGGGGGGGGTGAAACCATAAACCTCTAAAGGGGTAGCTCTAACAGGTACCTACAGCAATGGCTGCATGCTCATACATATACATTCCGCTGCCCATTGGCTCACAGTGGTTTTACCATATTGAGACAAGACAAGCTCTCCTTGCGTAGCAAGACAAAACAACTACTGTCCGTGTGCAGGGCGCTGCCCTTTGATCCTTAGGGAATAACTGGTCATACACCTCCTCACAAGGAGTATTCCTTGGGGGTGTATCGGCACAGTTTTCTGGTAGCGGAGCCCGGAAAGGGCCGCCCGCCTCACAAAGTCCGCTACAGCGGTCGGCCTCGCCGAACGCTTAACCAAGCGGATAAGAGGCAGCACAATGTCGAGCTCGCATAGCGAAGCCGACGGCAGTTCCCAATCCTCCGGGGGATATGAGAACGAAGAGACCTCCCAAGGTCCAGCCACTTATGTCGCACAGTCATATGCAACATCTGACCGCATGCTTGCATCATTAGGCATAACGCCCAAGATCGCGCCTGCCTATGATGGCACCACCTCGTGGTTTGAGTATGAACAGTTGATTGACGACTGGTGCGACATAACAACGCTGGATGACACCAAAAGAGGTCCGTCTCTCAAGACGAGGCTCTCCGGATTGGCCGCAGTACAAAAAGAATCACTTAACCGAGAAAGGCTTGCAGCCCCAGATGGAGTAGATTACTTCAAGAAGAAGATGCGTCCATTTTTCGTGAAAGGAGAACAGTACGTTTTCCTGTGGCGTTTCCTCGGCCTATTCAAGGCATGGAAGGGCAACCAAGACTTTGTGACTTGGATTGCTAAGTTTGAAATCGTGCTACAGCGCGTGAAAAACTCATGGATGGATCTCTTACCAGAGATAGCTCTGGAAGATGCCCATCCAGATTTCATGCAGGCTGTGCAGGCAGATCAAACCTTCTTGCGCCTACAGGATGCAACCGAGAGAGACACATACGCCGCACGTTTCTTCGAAACATGGAACAAGGAACGCCTTGATAATCATCGAAGAGCGTTTCCTCTAAATGATAATCTCCTAGCTCTCCTCTTCCTAGTGCAGTCCGACCTAAATGAGATGCAACGTGAGAGGTTGGTAACAGCATTGACCAACCAAGGTCACCGAATTGAGACCTACACGTACCCTGTGGTACGGCAGACCATGTTCGATCAGTTCTCAACGACCAGAACTGGTCTGCAGGATCCCAACATTCGGCACTCTTCTCACAAGAAGGACCGCCATGGAAGGAGAGACCAACGCCGCAAACGCGGAGGTCGAAACTTCCTCATCCTCGATCAGGGTGAATACGACGGAGTCGATGGATTCTGGCTCCAAGACGAAGACACCCTTGAGGAAGGCTTTCTTGCCGCCGAGGATGAAGAAGCTGTCTTCTGGACAGTTGACGACCATGAAGCCTTCGTTGCAAGGAGATTCAAAAAGGGAAGAAGACCAAGAATGCGTCCCGGATCACCGGGAAGAGCAAAGGGTGGCAAGCGAAAAGGACGTGGCCGTTTTAGGTCATACCGCGGAAAAGGGAGAGCCAACCAGGCAGAACATGATCCAACTGATTCCAGCTATTTCGGTAAAGGTAAAGGAAAGGAAAAAGGAAAAGGTGGAAAAGGCAAAGGAAAAGGAAAGGACAAAGGAGATAAAGGAAGCTCCTTCAAAGGCGCAAAGGCAAAAGGCAAAGGTAAGGATACAGCTAAGTCTGCCTCCTTACAAGGAGACCAAACTGGATCTCCACAGGCCTATGAAAGTTCCACCGCACCGAGCTGGGATTCATGGTATGAGGACAGTTATTATACTGACTCCAGTTGGAATTATGCCGCTTATGACGATCAAACGTCTTATACATACTATGCATCACAAGCCTCACGAAGAAAGACACGGAGAAAGAAGAGAAGAAATCAAGCAGGATCATCAGGTAGAGGCACAGATCCGAGCGCGCACCAAGAACCCGTGTACAACTCATCAGTGAGTTACGTGCCCCAGGTCTTTGAACCATCCGAGGGGCAAGGTGTTGAAACTGCAACAGCGGTGTTTCCGTTGCAGCACACCGTCCTATCTGCTCTCACAGAGCGGATCAATCTTGATAAGAGCCCTACCTTTGTCATACTTGACTCTGGTTGTACTAGGGCTATGGGTTCCCGCTATGCGGTGAACAGGCTTATCAAGGCCGTGAAGCAACGTGCCCCAGGCATGATTGATTTCACTTTTTCACCTTCGAACACGAAGTTCTCTTTCGCAGATAGTGAAACAGCTCTTATCAAGGAGCGTGTAACTCTATGGTTCAACACAACTCCAAGAAGAGATACAACCATAGAAGTCTTGGATCAGGGGAGAGTCCCCATTTTGTTTTCCATCGAACAGATGAGGAATTTAAGAATGACTCTCGAGTGTAGTCCCACAGCTGACCTAGCAACGTGTGAAGCTTTCGGTTTGTATAAAACCCCTCTTCCGATTAGTACCAATAACCATTTGGTATTGGACCTTCTAGGCTTCACTTCCACCAGGAAGTATCTCCCTAAGTCAGGTACGTCGTTCAGTGCGACGGAGACTGCTCTAGGAGCCAATAAGCCTTATACTAGGATACCGGAAGGTCGCTGTCCAGCCTGTGCCGGACAGAAAAGGGCTCACACGTACCTCAAGGGTTGCGACAAAGCACCTGAGGGAGCAGCTGATCCACCACCGAAGAGGATTTCAGGTAAAAAGAAGCCTCTTCCATCTGATCCGGCAGAATCATCTGCCAAGAAACTTGATCCACCAGAACCATCTGGTGATGCTCCTGAGCCTTCCGGACCATCGGAACCATCATCAGGCTCTAGGGACAAACCTGCAGAATCCTCTGCACCACATGAACCTCCAGAAGAAGAAAGACTTGAGGTCCCACCTGCGAAGATAAAGACTCCAAAGGGTCTTAAAAACCTTCTGAAGAAATCCCGCAAATATGCGGTTAAACCTCCTGTTGAAGAGAAGTCTAAGGTCCCAGGAGCTGATGACGGGACGGAGGTAAGACCACTTGAGTCAAGAGAATACCCGGCTCCTGGTACAGACTCACCTACAGGTGAAGAGATTGTCGCAGAACCATCGCCATCTCTTCCCATTGCTCTTCGCAGGATTCATGAGAAGCTTAAGGACCCTGTAGAACTCTATAAGCTTCACCTTAAGCACCGTCATATGAGTACGGATCAGTTCAAGCGACGCACAAAAGCCTTACAGATCCCAAAGGAGATATACGAGCTATATGACCAACTGGTCAAAAAGTGTTCAGCCTGCCAGGAACATGTGAGAGCTCCTTCAAGAGCGAAGATTTCTGGTTTAAGATCAGAGACTTTCGGTGATCTCACCTTCGTAGATCACGGTGAGCTTCCAATTCCCGGCAAGGATAGTCGCTTAGTATTTCTTATTCTCTATGATGGAGCAACAAACTTGTTGACTGCCGAAGTAGTCCAGGATAAAGAAGAACATACTACAATGTCGATTATGAATGACTACTTTGAGAAATTTCAGATCAACCCAAAGGTTGTAGTTGGAGATCAAGCATTCATGACTCCAAAAATGGAGGCTTATTACAATCGGCAGAATATCAAGCCTGTGGCAACAGGACCTGGAACACCATGGCCCAACAGGGCCGAAGCTGCTGTAAGATTGCTGAAGCATCAGATTAAGCTCATACTTCAGATCCTGAAGGATGGTGACCCGCAGTATAACGGAATCACCATGAAGTATGGCAACCTCGTTCGCCAAGCATGTTTGGCAAGAAACTCTTCGATTACCTACGGAGGAGTTACTCCTTTAGAAATGGCCTTTGGAAGGCGTCCTCGAGATGTTATAACACCAGAGAACGCTGATCCCAATCAGTTGACAGGTAATCCAACTGATACGGAAGTCACTGCGAGAGCCATTAAGGAGCTTGCCAACAGGGCTTACCAAGAGGCACGCCAATCTGATGATCTGCGTAGAGATCTTGCAGCCAGACTGTCAATGACCCAAGGACCTTTCTCTTTGGGAGATAAGGTTTTCTACTGGTCAGAAGATAAGTCTAAGATTGGATCCACTGGGTCCAAACATGGATCTTGGCTAAAAGGAAAGGTGATCTCCGAACTCGGAGGATCCATGGTAGGTGTGGATCTTGGAACACGCATCGTCCGCGTCAATATCTCAAAACTGAGGAAAAATTATGACATAACATCTGATGTGGAGATTCCTCTCGCGCCTGATGAGGAAACTCTGACGTCAGAAGGTTCTGACCACGCAAGTTGCATGGTCACCTTTGATGCTTCCCTGCAGTCGACAGACCTAACGGTTCCACATCAAGAGTGTCACTGGCAGGTCACCAGCACTGGGAAGATTGACTTCCTAGAACTCTACGGCGGATCTCCCCGCATGAGTCACAAAGCTGCCCTGTCAGGTCTGCGAGTAGGTCAGCCAGTCGATTTGCGTAGCGGTCTAGATCTTGAGCAACCGCAAGGTCGCTCCAATCTTCTTAGGATCAT